CAATGAGGGTCGACTTTAGTGTGAGAGAAACACAGATAGCTAAGGGTCATAACAATGGTATGATATTTGATGGGCCCAGTAACCTAACTCCAGTTGTGGTTAAAGTCACCTGAAAAAGTTCAGGAGATACTGGAGGTGTCTTTGTAACCAACATATACTGTTGAATTGGCAAGTGAGATGGTAAACCATGTGCATTAGTAACCCTCTCCAGGCTGGAAAGTATCCTGGCAGGGCGACTAGGGACATGCAGGGCCAATGGATAAGCCGCTAACAGCAATTATTTGATCTGCTACTCTAGATCAGGGACTGACTATCCGTCTTAGAGTAGAAGAGTCTCTGAGAACGCCTACCATGCTGTACTCACGTTGTTGAGGAAATCTCTATTAGATAATGGTGTGAATTCATTAGGGAAAGTACTGGCCACAACCACAGGTCGCCATGAGTGAAGCAAAAACAGATCCTGTCTTCAATATTCAAGAGCGCAGCAAAAGAAAATTTGGACCGGACCATTTTCTGAAGTGTTTTGCAGTCTAGATGGCCCAGTACAATACTCCACTGACTACTTGTCTGAGGCACAATTATGAGAGTGCAAAACAGTCATTGCCAAGAGGAGTTGAAAGTTTAACTTGGCGAAAAATCGAGCAATCCAATGGTCCAAGTTCAAGGCTGAGAACCACCACGACTTTGGCTGCTTACGTGGATAATCTATGCCATTTGCACAGTAAATCTCATCCTGCAATCTTCATCAGATCACGAAGATATCCTCTTTAAGAAGTTCGATAACGGCCTACCTAGTGAAGTTATGAGGCACCACCAGGATGTGAAAGATATTCTTACCCTTATGAGGCAGTTTTTGCCACAACAATCTATCAAGTGGTAACTACAAACTAGTTGCAGGGTGCTGCAATACAACTACATTGGTATCCATATTGCGACCTATGTCAAAGATGTTTTCACCCTATGAAAGAAGAGCAAATCATATGCTTTAAATGTGGAGGCAGAAAGTAACATCAGTGAGATGAAACTTTGTGACTTGCAATGTAAGCGTGAGTGGATTATAATGGTCAGAAATAGATGTTGGTGCTTGTACTGTGGCTAACCAGAAAATTAGAAGGTGAATGAGGGGCTTCCATTTCAATGTTCGTCGAGCAACTGATGTCCAAGAGCCCCAAAAAATTACTATAACAGCGTTCAAAGATAAACTTGCTAACTCATTCTCCTAAAGCCATCTCTGTGTAACTCACCTTGCAGCAGATCCCAATGTTAAAGCATCATTGTCAAGAGATTATTGTGAAGTGGACCAAGGCCTCAGTTTTATATAACAATGAGAAAGACCATTTGCATCAGATATATTCTCTACCTCGAAAAGGAGGTCTCCCATTTATGCCATTCTATGGTCAACTACCATACTGATAGGTCTGCTGAAAGCATTGAAAAGAGGGGAGTCAGATTGTATGCTTGCAGTTGGGGGAATGTATTTTGCTTGTTTATACGAGTGTGAACATTGTATATCATATGTATCTCTGCATTTTGTTTCTTTTTTTTTTCCATTATTCCTTTACCTCGTATGTTTAAATAAGCAATTAGTGTATATGTATTTTAGTGATGAATTTCCTCTTATGTTTGAAAGTACCGTTATTTTTTTTGTTAGAACATTTCTTGTAGTCGTTCTTATTATTGTACACATGTATATTTATAGCTATAATTGTATTATACAATGGAAGGTTTTTACCCTTGAGTTTTTAATATATACTCTATTGCATTTATTATCAATGGGTTATTGTATGTTTTGCCATACTTTATTATATCATATTTAAATAGATTGTATTGATATGTGTGTGCATTTCTCTATGTTGCTAAAGGTTTAATTTTTTACTTTATGTTTATTATAAAGGTTTGTATATACTTAATGTACTGTATCTTTATTTTATATTGTTATTCACTCTCGTGCCTGGGCGAAAGAGCAATAGTTGTAATGTTTTCTTGTATTTTTTATTGAAGGGTATTTCTTTGGTGTTTTGTTTTGAATTTCGCGCAAAGCTACACGGGGGGCTATCTGCACTAGCCATCGTTAATTTAGCAGTGATAGACTACCAACTCTTTTACCAACGAATGGTGAGATTGACCGTCACGTTATAACACTCCCAACGGCTGAAAGGGTAAACATGTTTGGTGATGGGATTTCGAATCTTGAATCCTCTGATTGCGAGTTGAGCACCCTAACCACCAGACCTTTTGGTGGTATGGCTATTGTTTTGTAATGAGATATCTTAATTTGATTAAGGAAATGTATATCTTTGTTGAAGGATTTTAATTATGTTTTGTATTGTGATAATCTTTGTTAAAGGGTATTTCAATATAATTACTTTATTGCATTTTTAGTTAAAGAGTTTTTCTTTATTTATTGCATACTTTGTTAAAGAGCTGATTTTGCATTTATTTATTTGGTGTAATCATTATCAATTAATCAATGTTAAAGTTCTTTCGCTGCAATGTAATTAAAGACTATTGTTTCATTGTTAAAGAGTAGTTTATGTAATATTACTGAATTGCATTTCTTTATAAAAGGCTTGTGTTGTCTGTGTTGCATATAAGTGTTTAGAGGGGTGAAAATTACAGTACCACTTGATTAGTGTACATGACTAGATTTTATTGGTTTTAAAATTTAGAATTAATTAATATTGGCTTGAGAACAAGCCTAAAATTGGGGAGGGGAGTGTGGTATACAGGCATACCATGCATTTTCTTCCTTCTTATTTTGACATATAATACTTATAAATTTGTCAGTAATTCAGGTGTATGTGCATCTTTCACATAACACTTGGTCAAGTTAGTCATCAAGTTCCTTTCACTGTAGTTACCCATTACTCTGTGTCATTCCCCAGAGTTAACACTTAGTAGGCCCATGAGGGAAAATTGATGTAAAGTAACACCTTGTGTATATTTCTTCCAATGTGAAGTTAAGTGATATTGTGAAGGTTTAACCACCTTTATTTTCTAATGGTAATGATCATTCATGTGGCTAGTGCTAATTATTTTAGGTAAACTGATGTTCCAAGTTAATTAAGTTATATAAGTCAGTCTGGAACAAAATTTTAGAAAGACATGAAGAATATGACAGCTATCATGGATGGAGGAAGTAGCAAGGAGGAGTAAGAATCCAGCACAAGGAAAAAAAAAGGGGGGGGGGGTAAATAGACAAACCAAAGTGCACAAAGAGGAAGAGGCACTTTCCAAGTAGGAATTAAGTTTTATAAAAGGCATTAGTGATTCTTGCCTGCAGAAAAATTTTAAGTCGATAAGAAAAAGACAGCAATTTTAAACATTGCATGAGTTCATTATAAATCAACTGGTGATACGGTTAAGACTAAGAAAAGAATCAAACACTTGAGGCCTTAATTTTAAAATAATTCTACACTACCTCAAAAATAGCACAAGCCTATTTTAAAACAACTAGAGATGAGGTTGTTTAAGGTAGGGAGATTGATCTCAAAACATTGTAGGGGACCATTTAAAAATAATTTTAAGGATTAACTAAAAATAACAGCTTTTTATGTAAGAAGAAAATAAATTGATTCTAAATCGAAAGGGTTCTCAAGTTGTTGATATTACATGAATATACACATTTCTATGAGGCATTGGTGATTTCCTTGATGCAATGTTCCCCAACAAACCAGCACTTGCCCCCCCCCCCCCAAAGATCCCCAACCTCACTCCCTGTGACTTTTTTTTTTTGTGTGGAGTTTCATCAAGAATAGTGTTTATGTGCTTTGTCCACAGTCCTTGGATGAGCTATGAAATTGCATCACTTGTATTATTTGGGGTATATCCAGTATTGTTTGTGCAAAAGTTATGGATAATTTTGGTGAACGTCTCCAGAAGTGTGTTGAAAGAGAAGATGGACATGTTGAGTACTAAACAAAACTTCAAAAACTACACTTACTGTCCCATATCAGTTTCAACTGGAAAGTTGTACATTTTTGTAATAATCAGGAAAATAAAACAGGTACCTTTGAGTGGGACACCTTGTATTTGTTTTACACAAATTATACACTTAACATGGTTAATATAAATTCTTTATTAATCAAAGGAATACACAAAAATAACACAATAAGAATGTATTCAGTGAAATTAATACATAAGGCAGCTCTTGAAAACATTTTGTATCATACAAATTTAGCGATAAGAAATGTGCTGCAATCTTTCTAGTTAACTTAAGATGTTTTATTGTCTCATATAACTTCTTAACTGCATAACAACATGCAGCATAATTTGTAAACACATCATTTAACCCTGCCTGGCAAAACTAATTTATAATTTTTTTCAAAATAAGTTAGGCTGCAAATATTTCCACTCAGAAAAACAAATATTTTACATCTCATTTTATCTTTATAATACAAATTGTTTGTTTCTGGCAGTGAACTTTTTCTTTTATATTTTGTTTCTGTGATTTTCAAGACAAACCTACAATCAGGAACAAAATCAATTCTTGAAATGGTCACAAAGTTTCACGGAATTTTCAGTGTCAAAACTTTTTCAAATGAAAACAAACAGTAGAAGTTACAAAATACCTGAAATTAAAGCTTTTAACACACTTCTCTGTAAATTTCTGAAACAGCTATTTAAAATTTTTTCAGACATATCATCAATTCTAATTCTATAATTATGACTTTCTAAAAAGAATAATCTTTATTATTATTGTTATGTCATTAATGCTTATGATGTACACATGGTCAGATGTCATAACTTGTTCTGCTAAGTACAGTTTGTTTGTTGTTAATCATAAAGCTACATAATAAGCTGTGCCGTGTAAATCATGGGTATGAAATCCTAGTTTTTAGCAATAAGTACAGAAAATGCCATTAATTCTTTTGATAAACACATTAGAAAATGATAATTATTCTGATAAACACAAAAATATTGTCAATGTTGCTAATAAGCATAATTTTTAAATATATATAAACAGTTATATATAAAAGTCAATATTTCCAATAAACAAATAATCATATAATGTTAATGCTTTTGATTAATACATTGTGATATAATATTACTTCTTCAGACAATCACAATGACATATAATGTTAATTATTCTGATAAACATAATGATATAACGTTAATTCTTTTGTTAAATACGCCTTTAGAGTAAATATTTTAAGATATGTATTTTCACATCATTTTTCTGATCAACACATAGACACATTATGTAAACTTCTAATAAATATACTAACACAGAAGGATTTTATTAAACATAATAACATGTAAGGTTACTAATTCTTTTAATGAATATTTATATTTTCAAGCACTGAAGGAGGAATATGAAGAAAGCGAACAGAATATGCCTTGATTGAGTGCACAGTAAACTGTTCTCAATTAATAAGCATTGGCTATGATTAATTAAAGAATTATCAAAAAATCTTTCCCTCTGAAATAAAGCAAAACAAAAATATATATGCTAGTACATATATTTAAAAATAGTGAATTTACGAGTAAATTTAATTTACTTTATATGAAGTTAATGTGCAATACAATACCATGAGTTATACAAAGAACAGGATAAGTAAACTTAAGAAAATATATTAAAAACAATATTATAAAAAAAACAATAAAACTGAGTAATTACCAAACCCTTCTAACAACTTTAGACACACAGGATTAATCTGAGATCTGTAAATTCTTATAAACAGCATGAACACCAACAGTATTACTTATTGTGAAATTTTTATATCCGATATTCACATAATGAAAACATAAAAACAACATTCAAGGTATTTTTGGTTTATAACTATTTCACAGAAGCAAAGAAAACTTAATATAGAACATACATGTTTTGATTTCTTACTTTGTTTTAATTTGTATGTGTTATGAGTTAACATTAAGCAGTTAAGAACAAATAAACTGATTCTATAATGTTAATTAGAAATCTTCATATTGTATATTTCTTGTTATGCACAAAGATACACAATGGGCTAACTGTGCTGTGCCCACCACAAATATCGAAACTAGGTTTTTAGGAGAGTGAGCCCCCAGACTTACTTCTGAGCCACTAGGGTTAGGGGGCATCTTTATATTGTATATTCTTGCTTGATTTAGACAAACTTTCTAGTCATCTTAAGTGAAGACCATAACAGGAAGAATAGACAAAGATATATTGCTAAAAATGGGACATAAAAAGTCAAATTGTTTCTCATCTTTTACCTACACCCTTTTTTTGTCATTTCATCTTTTTAGACAATTTAGTAACAAAGATAACAATTATTATTAAAATGATTTTTGTATAAGAAATAAAGTATGTATAATGTATATTATTGTTCATCTTAAACACTGTTGTACTCAATAGACTATGATTTTTGCACTGACTTGCTACGAAAGCTGACTTAGAAAGCAGAACACTCAAGAAAGAAAGCTATCATGTCCTTTTTAAATATTTCATTTATATTAATAAAAAAAATGGAGATACAAGTTATCACTTTCAGAATAGCCTTGTCAATTAGATGGCAACTAGTGCCAGATATAAGGAGTGTACACATGCTTGTAAGAAGAGACCTGTGTGGCATTTTATTAATGTAATAAGATGCAAGAAATATTTATCACAATAAAATTAAATTATTATTTTTCATGATTCCAAAAGTAAAAACAGACTCTATGAATATTTGTATTGATGTTTTTAAGATCAATGCTAGATTGTTCAATTCAATTACTATTTAAGTAATTAACCTTTTTGACTAGCCAGCCAAAACAATTTCCTAAAAATAAAATAAACAGCAATATAATTTGTCCATTATTAGACATACAGTATGTAGTTATTTAATAAAGACTACTTATTCAGGTAGTTTAGAACATTCTCTAATATTGATACAAAAAATTAAAATGTTTTCATAGCTTTTTCTAGGTGCTATTGTAGAGTCCATTAGGTTGAAAGAGCTTGGAAACAACTGAAACTAACATAAACCTTTTATTAGTCAATGATCTCAGGATTTTTTAAGATATATGAAATTTGTGAAATAAACTTAAGTTCTTTTGTAACTGTATATTCAGAGGCCTGTAACAATTGTACAACTGATTATGAAGATTATTTCAAATAAAAATAAACGTCTTAATAAAAAAGTACAGTATAAACTTTTCTTCCAGAGCAGAGCAGAAAAAAAAATGCTATGGGTATAATGAAAATTAAGTATAAGAAAATATTTTATTACTGTTTGAATTCTTTGTTTTTAATCATGTCACTTTTCATGATTGAGTTTACTTCCTCGTTCTTTTAAATGCCACAGTATCTATGCTCAGTTAATAAATACTACAATATTTATTTAAACCTACTATAGCTTTTGACAAAATATTTAAGAGAAGACACTTTGGCACAGAATGACACTTACTGTTTCTTTTTGGCACTAATTACAAAATATTACTACTCGCTAGTTAGCTTTGTTAAAATAGATATTCCAAACATAAACAATATTAAATGCTTAATATGTTTTCCTGTATTTACTACAATATTCTTGACACCTATTCCACATTATTACAACACTCAAATAAAACTTTATTATATAACATATATTATCAGATGGTTATACACATTTCTAAACATACCATAATATTTTTGTCCCAGTAAATTTCGTTACTTTCCCGTAGTTATAAAATTATTAATTTAAACATTAATATATGCCAAATAACTTTGTTGTACATACCATAATATCCTTGCAACAAACACAGTTAGTCATATTCCTGTAATTACAATACTCTTAACAAAATACTATTAGATACCAATTGCATTGTTGTAGTTGCACACGTTATTAACAAAATATTATGATATGCCAGTTAAACTCCTGTTTTTTTTTAAACAAACACTATTAGATGCCATTCACGTTCCTATAATTACATCGATGAAACAAACACTTTAGATGCCAGTTACATTCCTGTAATTATAAATTTTCCTAATCTTTCCTAAACATTCCAACATATGTTTAAGCATTCATCACACCAAAGATATTCCAAATTATATTAATTATCTCTTACTTTCCTGAAATTACTGTTCCACTTTTAACAACTTGTCACCATTAGTTTGTTCTCTTCATAAGCAGTTCAAGTTTGGCCATTGAGCAGATTCACTCTGGCAAGGTCATTTCAAATACTGTATTGTCCAGTTGCATGAAAGGTCACATACACACACACACACAGCCTGTGCTATTGTTCTGTGGACATCTAATTGGAACTTGCCACAAATTAAATAAGACACATGTTTATTTATATTTATGTAACTTAGAGTATTAATGTTAATTAATTCAATATGTATTTTTGTTATTTATAGTATTAGATAAATTTAATATATAATATTAAGTTCCTTAAATAGTAACAACTACATCAGCCAAATGTTATAGGCATGGACATGAAGCTTCACATGTGACAATTCTGTTTTGAAACTTAGTAATTCAATAAGCAGACTCAACTTTGTCAGGTCTTTTTGTAATAAGGGCTGAAAACACTACTAAAAGCAAGGATACCTAACTAATGACCTAAGGAGAGTGGTCAGAGAGGTTTTTTGTGATTTGTCTGTTATTCAAAAATAAGACTAATTATTATTAATTATAATTTTTACTGAATATCTTTAGAAACTCTTCTGATACAAATTACAACATTCTTGACAAGACAAGATTAGATGTGGATTATATTCCTGTAGTAACAAAACCAGATGCTAGTCATATTTCTGTTCTGGTAAATAACTTGTGTCTCTGTTAACTGAACACTAGAGAATATGATATTATAACTTAATTGCATTAAATAAGGATTAGTTAAGTACTAAGGATTTCTGATAATAAGTTATTCTGGTATCTCTGTACATTTTGTTTGTTTAGCCATATAGCACACCTGTCAGGTACTACAGGTTGGCTGTAGTAGCTATACCTTTGTTTAATAGTTTAGAAAGCCTACAGCCATATTTCCTGAGGTTTTGGTTTTTTATGTGTGTGTGAAATAGAGTGTCATTATATCATTTTCATAATTTGCAGTCATTTTCTGTTCTTTCCAGTGATACATTGAGTGACTGTATCCATATCACAGTTTACTTTTTCCAAAATGGTCACTCCCTACGATAAGGCAAAAGTCGTGGGAAAGTATAAAAGCCCATGGGAAAATGAGTTTCATGGAGTGACTACCAAGTCCAATTCAAATCCATTAATTTTTTTTTTAGTTTCATAATTAGCGATATTGAAGGGCTTTATATGTTAGCAATTATACACAAAAGAATGCATTATCACATAATTCTATGGGTAACTTAAAAAAAATTAATTACGTGTTTTTATGATAATAACTACAGGTTCAGACCAAAATGGGTTAACAAGTAGGAAACTGACATGTTACTTGCAAAGAACTGTGATACTGACTACTTGACCAAAGTGTAAGCTTCTCTGTTAAATATTGTGTCAGCTGATCTTTGTGAGAACTTTTGAAATAAAAATTTACACTTAGTAAGACTAAATAATAAAGAAACTGTAACTATACACAGTGAATTAATATTTCATTCTTTGTATTTATACATTTTGCTTTTGAAATTTCTAAGTATTTAATATATTAAAATTTAATAAATGATAAAAACACATCCTAATGTCCCAACTCATTCAACAACTAGAAAGAAGTGTCAGTATAAAGCAAAATCTAACTTGCCCATGCCAGTAAGTAGGAATAATAATAAAAATAAAACATATCCGTGTATTAGTCCAAGTAACTAACAAGAATAAACAACAATAGTAAATGCAATTTATACATCCTAGTCATGAAGTGAAACAGTAAAAACACAAAATTCAGCAATCAGATTCTGGTTCTACAACCAGTAAATAACTGTAACACATATACAAATGAATTTAAACCTTGTATTTAACGATTTTCATCACTTTTTATTTGATGTCTTTCACTGTGATTTACAATAAAAAAACACTTTTTTCTTTTTATAAACTTTCTGTTCTGATGTGTATATTTTTCAGAGCATCATCTAGTTCTAAAAAACAGTTTTTTAATCAGTGTTAAAGATCCACTCTGAACAACAATTTAAAGTACATATACACACAGAGGTTCACAAACAGTGATATCAACAAACAATATAATTACTTTATGATGCCTTCATGAGTCTCCAGCTGAACCCTTCCATGACATCTGACTGTAGCTGCTGCTATATGTTATATTTCCTGAAAAATATTGGCCAGCAGAATGATGTACACCACCAGAGGAAGCCATGGACCTAAAATTACCTTGTAAATAATGGTTTAGTTCTTCCTGTGTATCAAAGATCAATACATTGAAAGGAGATCCAGGCACATGTACATCTGACCATTTAACTTCTAGGCGATAGTCCCCTGGCTCTGTTGGGTCATATTTACAAAGAATAGTTCTGTCTTTTTGGCTTTCTCTTTGCATTTCTACTCTGAATGCTCCTAAGAATTGAATGAAAAACAAAAACTGACCCTCAATAAAACAAGATTTATAATACCAGGATTACAAAAACTATTTTTTATTATATCATTAAGTTATGATGAAAGAAACTTTAAGCCATGAAAAAAAATAATTTAACAGAAACAAACAGGTTAACTACTACTATTTAAAAACAAACAGAAAACACAAAATATTTTGATGAAATATGCATACCACTTAGATACTTTTTACATATATTAAATCTTTTTTATGGCACTTACAAAAAATAATTTTATACATAGAACTTACTAATTCTTACTTTAGTTTATTCTGTATTTAACTTTTGAATATCAACTTATAAACAAATAAGTTATAAATAAATTCTTTAGTTGTGATATAAAAGTTCTAATTAAAAACAAAGTTTGTACTTGAAAAAGCTCCATTTTAAGAAATGGTTTACCCAAGCAATGATAACAATAACTCTGTACAAGCTCCATTTTAAGAAATAGTTTTCTCCATGCAATGATAACAATAACTCTGTACAAGCTACATTTTAAGAAATAATTTTCTGCATGCAACCATAACAAAAATTTCATATTAAAATAGTTTTACCCAGGTAACTATAATAATAACTATGTGCAGCAATTGTACTTCATTTATGCAATAAAAATTTAAAAAATATTGTATGAATGCACAAAGAAAATAATGCATAGAATAGTAAATTGAATCATAAAATAGATCCATTGTATTTAAAGAAGAAAGGAATGTAGAATACAGAATTGATACATAAAGAGATTAGATAAACTTAATGAACTAATATGAAAAGTGTGTACATTTAAAGAAATGTGTAACTATAATAAAGTGGATTGTTAACAAAAAGATTAAGTATAACTAAAAAAAATATACACAGAATGAAATGGATTGTTGCATTAATAAATCAAGTATACATAAAAATAGTTATGCAGATTAAATGGTATCAATAAGACAAATGTGAAAGGCACGTTAAAAGAAGAAATGTGTGTTTTTTTATAACTAAAATAATTTGAAAGAAAATTAAAGAAAACTAAAAGAAAATTTGTCTACAGCTAAGTAAAAAAACACTGACCTTTAGGCCCCCTGACTCGGACAGTCAGTTGGCCAGCTCCTGCTCCCCTTGTGTCACAAATGAATCGGCTCTGATAGGTGGCAAGAACACCAGGTTCGATTCCTGGACCATATACTTTCACCTTGGAAGCATCAGGAGCTCCTGAGATCCGAACAGAGTAAGGGCTTCCTATGGAACAGGAATAATCAATATTCATTTAATTTTAAAAAAATTACAACTATATATCTGAATCTGTGGATTTGTGCATATCATTTTAAAAACAAGCTCATCAAGTTATTGTTAGTTACTTGACAGACAAAATAAATTTTAATCAACTTGCCTGCAATAAATATGTTTTCTTTATAAAGCTGAGCCAATCCTGTATTTTCAGTACTGATGATTTTGATTTACTGTTGACATATGTTATTTGTGATCTTGTAAATAATTATTAACAAAACAAAAACTTTTATCAAGGTCTTAACAGGATGTAAATTTACGATTTTTTTATTTCCATTAATCATATTTCTATTTAGTTTACTAGATAGATATAAGTAGGTAGCCTTGACTACTTATAGCATAATCTAGTTAGCTAAAACATGACTATTCACACTTCATGCATGCATGAGTGCCTGAAGGACTGTAAAAGTGGGGGTTTCTGACTTCTAAAACATGACTATTCACACTTCATGCATGCATGAGTGCCTGAAGGACTGTAAAAGTGGGGGTTTCTGACTACGTTTGATTTGGTATCACACATACACTGTTCTGAAAGTTACAAGCTGAATAAACATTGAGTGTACTGTGAAATATAGAAATGTTTGTTTTGATTTACAAACATAAACAAAATTTTTACTAACATGCTATCTTCCTTTCCTTGGTAAAGGTTTTGGATGACTTATTAAATTAGGCTAGTAATACTATGAGGAAAATTACATTTCCATACAATATAGGTATTTAAGAACTGTCAATACTTTTATTTTACTCCTACTTGTATACTGTTTGAGAAATACACAGTTTACTTGAGATCAGGTTATTAAAAATGTGAGGGAGGGAGGTGCCCCAGTTATAAACTTCTCCAACACCTGTGTCTGCATATTTGATTATCATTTCAACTTTTTTGAGGTTTTAGTAGATGAGGTATTATGTATTAATTATTATTTCGATTACATACCTGGTATATGGTCCCCTCCATACTTAATTGTTAGCACATGACGTCCACCTTCCTGTGGTTTTAAGTACAAAGTAAAAGTACCATCTCGGTGATCGTACATTTCACAATAAGCCACTTTTGTGGGTCCCATACAATGAGCTGTCAGCTCACCTGTTAATGAGTGATTTGTATTTTTCATCTTATTGCAATTTGGTTTTCTAAATAAATAATATAATGTTTTATAGCAAAAATCTATGTTTGTTTAGCCACACATATAAAAACTAAAATAAGAGATAATAGAGCAAATAAGGTTTCTTCTCTTACAGCACATACTGTCTCAATTTCTTACATCGTTTTATGTTACCATGATGAAAGCATGTATCACAGATTGGTGAAACATAAGAGCAATAACATAATGTTTTATAACAAAAATCTATGTTTGTTTAGCCACACATATAAAAACTAAAATAAGAGATAATAGAGCAAATAAAGTTTCTTCTCTTACAGCACATACTGTCTCAATTTCTTACATCGTTTTATGTTACCATGATGAAAGCATGTATCACAGATTGGTGAAACATAAGAGCAATAACATAATGTTTTATAACAAAAATCTATGTTTGTTTAGCCACACATATAAAAACTAAAATAAGAGATAATAGAGCAAATAAAGTTTCTTCTCTTACAGCACATACTGTCTCAATTTCTTACATCGTTTTATGTTACCATGATGAAAGCATGTATCACAGATTGGTGAAACATAAGAGCAATAACATGTTCCATGTTGAATTTCTAGGCAGAAACTAACATTACTAGTGGTGTATCAGAAACCCTTATCTCAATACCAGCACTTATATGAGAGACTGGGTCATACATCTGAAATGTATTTACAAATGGTATACCAGCATAAGTATTGAAATCTGCTGATCAAGAAACTAAATATGGAAAAGCAGTAAAATCATTGTTTAATAGCAAGTTGTATCCCACACTGTAATATATCATATCTAATTCTGTATACAACAGTTTCAAACTAGATAATTTATACCACAGACAACTTACCTGCAATTACTTAATATTTTGAGAAAAAGCAATAGCAAAATAAAAAAACAAAAACAGAATAAGTTCAGACTAGAAATTTCATGAATTAATTAAATCACTTGTAACTTTTAGGATTTTTTCTACATATTCTTCCACAAGAGGGACATGGAAGGCACATTTCATCAAGACAAACATGAGAAAATTCCTTATTTTATGATGTTATACAAATATTCACTAATAGAAGCAAGGAAAAGCTAGATAATAAATCTTTATGAAAGCAACTTTTGCAATAGTTTCCTATAATATAAAAGATGCTGGCACTTGTGTTTAAAGCTAATCCTTACAACTACAGCAACCACTGTAAATCTCTGTGAACTTCTTTTTAAGACTGCATAAAAACTTTGTTATTTTAACCTCTGTAAAACTTGTGTAAGATTTTAATACCTATTTCTCATGATGTGCAGATTATAATAAAAAAAGAACTTGCATCCCCTTAAGAAAATAAGAAAATGTTTGAGAAATTGTGTTTTGTTCCGTAACTTTAGAGTAAACAAAAATTGCTCTCTTATACTAAATATTTCGCATCTACAAAATTCATAACATTTTCTAAGTTTTAATTTTTGAACACACAGTACATTTAAAATTGTGTGCAAAATTCAGCCTGAAGTATTACTTTTGCTAACTTCACTGGTCAAGGAAGGAACTAATCTGCTGTTTCAAGGAATAGTTACATTGTGTCCTGCTTAATCTTGTGTATGGGGGATACCTTTGTGACTGTCACATGGAACAGAGATACTTCAACATGTTGGTGCCTGTTTTCTGATTGGTCAGCACCATAGAGAATGTGTATTGTGCATGCTGTTTTGGTGTTTTCAGGAGATTCGTTGTAACCTTTGAGGAAAGCAGATTTTTTCTGTACTGCACAAGCCAAAACTTACTAGTGAGGTTTTTCTGTGTCTCAATCTTTCATCTATCCCTTCTGATCATATGAGTCAGTTTTAGTTAACTTCTAAATGTAGTTTATTATAATATTATACTCTTACTTTGTTACAGTACAAAAATTCACCCTAATGATCAGCCAACTTCAGAAAATAAAGTATTTTATGTTGTTTCAATTTCAGCACCATGTCTTGTCTCTTTCAATCCACTTGCAAAAAATAACTGTATTTTACATTCCATATAATAAATCCATATACCTTTCATTACTCTGGAGATCAGGTCAATAAATGCAGGCATATCCTTGAATTACCATAATTTCAATCAAATGATTATCAAAAAACATATGAAACTAGAAAACTGAATGGACTAAGAGATGATATAATTTAGGTTTGAAAGAGACTAAAAATGTTAGATGGTAAAACAAACAGGTTCAAAACCTTTTTCAATGTGAAATTATTTACTGACAACCCCCTGCTGTTAATTCTTTATGATGCCATAGAGATACTAATTTAACAAATAATCTATTTATTTGTTATTTTACGCACTGGCCAAAGCATAGGCTTCTTCCCTCCAACTGTGAATTTCCAAACAGCAAGTGTGTCAGTCTAAGTAGCAATGCACTGTCCCAATTCTAAAACCACCAATCACCGAAAAGCAATTGGTCAGCAGCAGCCACATTTATTTTATACTTTGTTAATATCAATTACAGTGCATCACTTTTTTTAATATAATATTTTTTTTATTTTTAAAACCAGGTACTCAATGTTTAATTCTCTTACTTCTACTATTGTACACTTGAGAAGCTTAGTAACAGCCTTGGAACAGGCTTACCTCTTTCCAATAACTCTTCAAGGTCTTTCTAGTAATAATACCCACTCTAATTCCATGTGTTTCATTTTATGAGTATTGTTAACTCTAAACACAGATGAATAGTTTTATACCAGAACTAGAATAGCACAGAAGTATCAAGATTAAATTTTCAATTCAAATTCGATCATCTAGCTATAGAAACAATAGAAGTGCTAAAGTATAATGTTAAAATGTTCTCTTAGTTTTACTGTTTAAAAATCAACAAAACACTATCTAAGTATTTTATTGAATATTGCATACTGAAAAATAAAAAGTTTGCAAACTTATTAGAAATATTAAGTTTGACTTAACAATAAGGCACCAACTTTGTGCTGAATGTATCCAACAATTTTACACATGTCAAATTTCATCTAGGGTTGAAAAACTGTTGAAGTTAAAGTTGTCTAATGACTCACTGTTTTATGTAATTTACTATATTTTTTTATGATGCAACTTTTAACAGTCTCTTCTCTACTTCTCCGTTTACTTTCAACCTATACTAAAATTTATGGCAGTTATGATTGTATGAGTGTGTATATATATATGACATTTTTCATTTAGTTTGAACCTGTAAATTACATAAGATGTACATTCGTGTTGTTCATTTATTTAATATTAGCTAATAAGACAGTTTTTGGCATTTACACACCTCAAACGCTTATCACTTGGATAATGAATACATATATCTTTCTCAACTTAGTTTCACTTTGAATTACAGATATGATGGAAATTTCTTCTTTAGGCCATACTTTGACCTGTTAAAATCTTAGTAAGAGGAACCAATAGCAAAATAAATGTTTCCTCACCTGGTCCTGCTCGCCTTGTGTCAATGAAAGCTTTGATTTCTTTCCCTAAAAATCCTCCTTTTAGACCATCTCCTGAACAGACTACTTTTGTGGCATCACAACTAGCTGAAATGGACACTTTCAAGGGACAACCTTTCACTTGTCGATCAGACCACATCACATTTAACAGATAAACACCTGCATCAATAAATTTGATGTAGTCAAACAAAATACTGATTTCTGTTTTTCCTTCATTTTCATTTAATTATGTGTACACAAACTAATTCTTTTAAATGAATGATCAATGATGTTAATTGAAATGTTAAAGCACTTCTGTTTGGAATTAATAAATTAAAATTCATGATCTAATAATTATTGTATCAATCCAAATTTAATAAACTCTTATGCTATTCCGAAAAAAAAAGAAAAGAAGGAAAATTAAGGTATTTTCATAAAACTAATATACATATCATAGAATATTAGGAATTATGTTTTTCTGTAAAAGCTTTTAGAGAACAAAACTATAAAATTGCAATAGAACAAGTTTTATAAATTTAATGCTAAAAAAGTTTATAGCATGTTACTTATATAATACCTGGAATAGTTGGAGTATAAATAGCCTTGAAAATGTTGTTTTGTTGAGGTATCAGGCGGACTGGAATATCAGCCTTCACTCCACTCAGACTAACCTCTGGATATCCTAGAATATTTAAGTAGTACATTTTTGCATTTCCTATATGAATGACTTATGTTGGAGTAAAAACAGCCACAATGATTACACAGCTTTGCTACAACTACAAATAGATTGTAATTCAATATACATATTGTGTTCCAAGTTGATAGCTAAGTAAAATGTGGACAAACATTATATAAATAATAAAAATTAATTAAAATAATGGCCCAGAATGGCCAGGTGGTTAGGGATCTTGACTCGCAATCTGCAGGTCGTGGATTTGAATTCCTGTCTCACCAAACATGCTCGCCCTTTCAGCCATGGGGATGTTAAAATCCCACTATTCATTGGTAAAATGTTGCTGGTGAGTTATGATGACTAGCTGCCTTCTCTATTGTCTTACACTGTTAAATTAGGAACGGCTAGCTCAGATAGCCGTCGTGTAGCTTTGCGCGAAATTCAAAACAAAACAAAACAAACAAACAAATTAAAATAATAGCACAAAAATATTAAAGCATCAATAAAAGAGCATAATTAAATCAATGATGATTTAATAAAATTAAAGAACAATTCTTGAATCTATTATTTTCCACTTCAGTTAATCAAAATCATAAAATTATGTCTGCCTATTAATCATATCACTATTTAGTTACCTGAACCTGCTGCTGATCCATCTATAACAAATTCTGCTTCTTCTCCAACACGGGCAGATGACAGGCCATGGCCTCTTAACACTACCCGTGTATAATCTACGAGTGGTTCACTTTCTTCTGTATAGGCAAGGTAAGGTGAATTGGGAAGGGGTACATCAGCAAAATATAAGTACATGTAGTATTCACCTAGAAAATAAGTTATATCACATTGGGAAAATATTTTTTCATTGTAATACTTGGTCAAAATTCAACACAATTTGGAAAAACATATTCAATGGTATTGTTGCGTGAGCAAGGTCATGTGACTAATGTCACGCCACTTCTCTCGAACCTTCGGGAATAGTCGGGAGATTACTAGATATAGGGTAGTCTGGTATATATATATAAGAGGGTGACAACGTGACGAATTAATGTTTGTGTGTAGACAGTGAGTAATTGATCTGCAGTCAGAGAGTATTATTGAGCATTTCGTTGTTATAGCGTTTGTTTTAGCGCGATTGTTGAAGTTGAGTGTATCGTAAAGTTATGTTCGGAAAGAAGTTACGGAAAGTTAATTAACAAACGGAGATGTAACAGTATTTAACGAAAACCATAACACTTTGGTAGAAGTATTCATCATAATAAAAGGGTAATATTTAACTGAAAAAACAAAACAAAAACAAAAAACATTTGAAAAGAAATATCAGAAAGCAAGGTTAGTATTTAACTATAAAATAATACACTTGGGAGAAGGAAATTTTATTATAATACAAATGCAAAAAAGACTCTAAAACTCAAACACCTTCAAAAAGTGATTTCTTCTTTGTCAGGGGCTTTTACAACATTTTTTTGGATTTTCATAATCCTTTGTAAATATATAATGATATCTTACATCAAAAGACCATAAGAATACAAGAGTAGCAGCAAAAAAACAACAACATAGCATGTTTAAAGAGAAATATTCATAAGTTTAGAATGACATAATTTAAATCAAAATATTGAGAACATATGAATCACTTGAAAAGAAAAAACACAGCATAACACTTTGTAAAAAACTAATTAATGGCAGTAAAAAGATGAAAAATGGATAAATTGATGAGCTTGGCAAAAGTATTTAATATTATCTTCATTATAGTAATGAACCATCAATTCCAAGGAACTTAACAATACTGAATAATAACAATTTATAACATGAACAGCACAGACTAAACTTTACCTTCCTCAACTGGAGTGAAAGACAGCCTATAACGAGAACTTGCTATGTGGTCAACTTGAGTATCAATCTGACCATTTGGACCCATAATCTCTGCCTTCAGTTTACCTGCAATTAATTATAATGAAACTTATAGTTCTTTGTAATGTACCAAAACAAAATGAAATGCAAACAAATACAAGCAATTTATAAATGTAAAGTTAATTGCATCACCATCATGCTCTTGGAATTTAAGAATTTCTCAATTGGGAAGACCTTTTAACATTAAGTAATTATTCTCTGATACCATTCATACTCCTGCTTTTAGTCAGTCATAAAGTAATATTTGCATTTACTGACAATATTATTAGAAAATACTGCTACAACATAGTTACCTTTATGTATTAACACATACTTACATATAATAATAAAAAATGATATTTAATCATCTTTTATCACAATAATTTGTAATTATGTTCTAAATTTCCATTATCATATTAACTCCATTTGCTAAAGAATGAAAATTGCACTTTCACAACTGCAGTTTTAAGCTCATTCTCTGAAAATTTATCAATTATGTCCCAGAATGAGCTGCATTAGTCCATTCACTAAGGAATGATAAATTATGCTCTTCATTATTTAATAATAACAAACTAGTCTTTAATAATCCAATATTACTTACATTCACCAAAACTGAACAGTAATGACCTTCATAATTACAATATCACCTGTGATTATCAATTTCATAAATCAAAGATAAGATTAAAGAATGGCTGTTTTAACTGTTTATAATTTTAGAAGTATTTAATAATATTTTTTTTACACATTACCTGGCCCTGCATCACTAGTGTCAAAGGTTATCTTTTTCTGTTCTCCACAATTTAAGACAATATGGTTTTCATCATCTACAAGATTTTCCCATCCACCAATTACACGCACTTTTCTAGGATTCACTACCCGAGGATGGAAAGGACTTCCTAAAACAAAACAGTAATGAGTTAAGTTTATTACTCAATGTATTATAATAATAATAATGGCTTCACTGCTTCCAGTGAAATTAAGATATTGTCTGTTTCTATGGACCATACTGATTGTAAAATTTCACAAAATGAAGGTGCTAATACACAGTGTGTTTTTAATAATCACAATAAGTGCAAAATATAAAAAGCAAATATAATAAATACCAATTAAAACAAAGATATATGACAAAACAACACAGACTTTAATACTAGGCATATCTCAATGACTTATGGTAGTTATGGAATGCAATAAAACACAGGTAAAAATTCCATATATATCTATATTACATCAGGAAATTGTGAGATATGACAGAACAGGCTATAATTAATTAGTAAATATATCTTGATCACCCATTGTGGTTGTGTGATATGACAAAACACAGGTTATAATTAATAAATGTATCTTGATCAGCCATCATGGTTGTGAGATATGACAAAACAAAGCTCATGGTGAATGAGTTAAATAATTATACACAAATGTTCACCAGAATTTTTTATTTTAATAGGACTAAGTTGCATTTGACAAGAAATACATTCAATACTTTGTTCAAATATGTTGGCAAAGGATTAGAGAGGCAAATATAATATTCAAATTCATCCTACAGACATCTGCTCAAAAAAGATAACTGAAGTCACTGTGATGCTCTATGAACCAATTTTACACAGTTTAAGTGTGGTGGAAATTTGCATTCATTACTTGCATTATTTTTCAAGTTGTAATCACAGTGACATTACTTGGAGTTTTATTACTAGAATGTTAAGTAAATTTTGAATAAAGATTAAGCATCAAGTGTAAAAATTAAAACTCATTGCAATTTTCATCATTATTTAATTTAGGACTAATAGTTTTTAAATAGGATAAGGAGTCATAAAATTATAGTTAAGGGAGACACAGAGTTATTTCCTTATCATGTAGACAACTCATTTCTCTCTAGCTTAACACCAGCCTCATGAATTATTTTAAATCAATGTAAACAAATGTATTTTTTGTTTATTTTTATCACACATAATAACCTCCTACCCCACTTTCATTTACCCAAAAGTTTATCAATTAAAATTCCCCGTTTTGGGATTTAAAAGCCAAAAACATACTGATTTTGCAATGATAATAACTGTAGGTATATTTTTAATGATCTTTTGAGAAGATTAAGAAAAATATGATTCTTTCTGAGAATTATGTTTCATTCAAATTATTTCCTTTCAATTACTAAAAGAAACACCTTCAATTTGATAGGCTGATCTATATGTACCACAAAATATGGCAAAAGAGAGAGAGTTTCAATATACAAAACATTCACCAGCATTGAAAAAAAAAACCTCTAATGCTTTCTAATCACAAGAAAGATTTTATGTATTATACAACACAATATACTCATTCATACACTGCTACAATATTATCAACTTAAGTTCTGAAATTGCATCTAAAGAAACAATAAAAATTGATGATGATTTGTGTTAGGGTTATTTCACAAAAGCTGAATGTAATAGTAAACTATGTAAATGCAAATGAACTTAGAACTAGCATTATTAAAAATAATTCTGATCTAGTAATGCTGTTATTCACCTGTCACCTCTTGACTGTTCCAAAAAACTCGTACATCAAAGATTCCTACTTCTTGTGGAACATATGTGACAATAAACATTCCATTTTCTTCCTCATCTACAGAACAGTCAGCTTCTGAGTCAGGGCCTGGGAAATAAAACAAATATGTATTAAAATTAAAAGACAATTATACATATCAGTTTATAATTTTATCAGCTAGCATAATTAGTAGGTTCTAATATCTATAGATATAATTCAGTTTAAAATAAAAAATCTCACTTTAGCAAACAAAATGGTGATATTCAGTTATACTTTAAATGGATAAGCCATCACTGCTTGAAATTAAAAGTAAAATATATGCTTTTGTAAACAGTTTTTAAAATGATATATTAAAAATATAGAATTGTGAGGTTAGTTAACCAATAAAACAAGTTTTAAATATTACAAGTAACTTTCTGCCACCAAAACAAGAAATTAAAAAAAAAAAAATTCTGTAAGCCAGCCAATCAGAAGTATTTAACTCAAAGGATTAAACTTGGTCTTGGATAATGCATCAGTTACACATCTAAAAGGTTCAAACCATAATTTCTATACTGGATGTAGAAGATCATTTTGACAACTGTTATACAGAATATATAGATTATAAGATTACAGTTGTTATGATAGGTGTAGTAGCTCTACAACTTCCTCTTATGTTTTATACACAAGATTAGACTGAAGATTATATATTAAGTATAGATGGTAAGACTTATTTGTTTGTACCAGAAGTAGAAGATCAGACTATAGTTGCTCTACTAAAGGTAGATGATAAGACTATTATTATATGTGGAAGATCATACTGTAGTTGCTCTACTAAAGGTAGATAATATTATAGTTGCTACATTAAAAGTAGATGATAAGACTATTATTACATGTAGAAGATCAGACTACAGGGATTTGAGAATGTTATATAACAGTAAGACTTGTTGAAAGTCTCTTTCTGAATGGTCCTGCTGACACAAAGTTGATCCATATCGTTTTGTTTTCCAATGTCATTAAGTACAAGGGTTATCCCCATCTTAGAAATCCTAATTTCAATATGAACACATCTTTATGGTTTGAGTGTATGAACATTTTGTGTCAGAAAGGGCTGTTACATACCTTCCCTACTACATATGAAATGCCAAACAATGTCAAAATGTAGTTCCAATACATTCTATTCCACAGCTGCTTTATATTAGTTTCAGTTGTCATATATTCAAAATCATTTTAACATATTATACTTAACCCTGTATAGTTGCTATACTAAATGTAGGTGATAAAATTGTAGTTTTTATGCTAGGTGTAGGGCCAGATTAACTTTGATGGGCAGGGCTTTTAAATGCATATCAATTTTTCTTTACTGACTTACCCTTTCCTTGACCTTGGATTTCAAGTGGAAACATTTTGCGAGATAGTGAATTCTACTTTTATTTTGTTATGATTTTGTTTACCATTCATTTATTATTCCTTCTGTCATTTAGTTCAACTATAAATGTTGAGTTATATTAAAGCCCTAACTTACCATATAGCTAAAGCATGTTGATTGTAAGTATGTTTGTGTTATGAAACTGACACAAGCTTCCCCTGCTGGTGATGTACAAATATTAATGTTGTGAAAGATTATGTAAATTATGGTAATAGCCAGTCACACGAGATCTAACCTCGTGGTCTAACCACTGAATAAAAACTCTTCCTTGATCTTTAATGAGTAAGTTCACAAGATATCGTTAGAACACATTGCTAATTTGCTAATTGATGCTTGATATTGTTATTAATCTTGAGAAGAGGTTTAATTTTGGAATATTGTGTTTTTTGGAATTAGGTATTTCTTCATCTGGTTCTTTTTTCCTAATTCTTTTATTTACTGATATTGAGGTTAATGTTGTATTGTTTATTAACATTTGTATCAAGTCCTGGCCAGGCACAGGTTTGTTTACTAACTGTTTTTTTGTAAGTGATAAAATTTGTATTCTACTTGTTTAAACGTTTTATTGTGGATTTCTGTTGTTACATTTTAATATATTGTTGTAGTGGCATTTTGTTTCAGTCCATTATAAAGCATGTTCTTTTGACAAGCAAATATGCCTTTAAAAATGTGATTTACAGGGCTTCCAAGCATAACAATGTAATTCTTACATATACAACATTATGGTGTTACAAGCTGTGCAGCTCCTCCCACACATACACTATGAACAATGTAACAACATGGCAAGGTGCATATAAAAAGACAACAATATCCAAGCTTCAAACACTGTAGAATTTACAATTAAAATACATACATTCACATGACACACTTCAAGTAAACAGAACAACAACACACTACGCCAGTAACTGTGCTGTCTAGCAACAAGAACGAAGTAAGGGCCATTTGTATTGTCAAACTGAATATGGTACTACATTTACCAAAATATAATCTTAGCTCCTTCCTTACTTTTTGGCATGTGCTCTCTATCTGAAGTTTTGATTTGTTGAGTTGTGTAGTTGAGTTTTATAATTACAGTTTCTGTTGCATAAAAAATTGCACTAAATAGACTAGTAAGAAAGTTTTGTGCTGAATAAAAAGAAGCAAGTGAAATGATTTATTACATTCAGACCTATACTTTTTGAATATTATACTTACATTCTAAAAATAATAATAGTATTACAATAATAATAAATGAGGAACACAGCTTTCCAAATGCAGTTGTTATTGATATATTAAATAGGGTTCTTTTGGACTGCAAGGATGCATTTTTATATATTGTATAATAAATTATAGTCTTTTTGTTTCTTGTGGGGAGGGGGTAAATCAGGGACATTGAGTTCCAGTCCCTAAAGGCCCTGGCTACATGTAGAAGATCAAGCTACAGTTCCTATATTAAATCTATGAAGATAACAAGACTAAGAGTGTTAAATCAAATGTAGGAAATCACACTAAGTTGTCATACAAAATTTAGATGATCAGACTATACCTGTTATGCTAGAAAAATAGAAGATCAGCTTAATTTATTATGAAAAGAATATAACATATCTGACTACAGTTGGTAAATATGGTATAAAATGTCAGATTACAACTATTATATTGTGTGTGGTTTGCTGAATGCAGTTGCTATGCCAGTTGTAGATGATTAGACTACAGATGCTATATTAAATGTTGAAAATAAAGAGTGGAGCTGTTTTCCTTAGTGTGGTTGATTACCATTGTCATGCTGAAAATGGTAGAACTGGTACTAAATTTCATGAGTCAGATTTAAGGTTTGTCAGTTAGCAATATAAATACAACACATGTTCAATAATGTCTGTCATTATTCAACAGTCTAGTTTATACTCATTGACACAAAAAGCAGAACAGTGGTGATAATATTTGAATGAATATTTCAGTTCAGCTATTATTGAAACTGGTTATTTTAAGCTAATGAGGTTAGAACAACTTAACAAACAACACATGACTACATTTCTAATTGAGAATGGACCTAAACTGTAAATTCTCTGTGGAGTAGAAAGACTGACAGCTCTAGCTAATATATGTTACCAAAAGTTTGCTTCAATGAATTTTTTTTGTTCGATGCAGTGCTATATACATAATGTTATTATAACTTGCATTTATTTTAAATATATCTACACAAAGTTTTGGTGAATAAACTTTGAAAGTTGTTGTATTTTTAACTTGGACTAAGCTTCTTCTCTTAAACAATCTAACAAATAAACTTCAACCACTCTTACAAGTTTTCCATGCCAATGGCCATGCACCCAACTTATTGCAGCTACAGGAGGTATCACAAAGTTTACCCACAATGTATTTCAAAATTCTGATTAACAGATACATTACTAACCCACAACTTCTACTTCTGGCCTTCCTCTCAGCCCTCTAGCATCAATGTTGAAAGTGGCAGCATTGCCACATTCTGCCAAAGAGAGTCCAGGTCCCACAACAGTTGGAGTTCCTCCATCATGAACAGTGAAAGTAATGGGACTGTCTGCTTAAGTAGAAAATGTGTTAACAGTTTATTACCATTTATTTTTGATAAAAGAAAACTATCTGTTTACAAAAATGCAATATCAGAATAAATGAATTACATAAATAACATTAAAACAAAAACATATTTAACTTAATTAAAGATTAATACACATATCCAATTAATATAAGCAAATATGTTACAAATACTGTAGTTAACCAACATAATATTTTAAATGCATTCTGATGTTTTAACAAACTAAACTCTATGTAGATAGTTAGAAAAAAACTACAGTCAACACTGAACACAAGTATCAGCATCAAAACAATTTATCCTTCAGACTCATTGTTTTATGTTGACAATCAGAGGAACAGACACACATTTTGCAGTATTCTGATAATACCAGCTCAAAGGTTAGAGCTACAGAAGTTTGTTTAAAAATAATTCAAATAAGAAGATAACAGAATAGCTTTTTTTTTTAAAACTGATGATTAACATCATTTTTATATATTTTCTGATATTTAGCCAATAGGTAAGTTTTAAAGAACAAACTATGACAGTGAAAATTTTTCACTTAAGATACTTATACATACTTAAATACCAATTAATCAAACTGTATTAATTTTGTCAGACAAAAAACCTACAATATGATTTTTTCCCAACAATAACAAAAGTATACTTTTAAATAAAAAAGTTCAATATTCACTTAACATATGCTAATTAAAAGAAAAGTTAAAACCCTACATAAATTGAACTTATTAGCAAAAAAGAAGATGCTTTGTAACAAGATACATCTAGAAAAAGTTCATTCTCAGTATAGTTATTTCTGTTTAATAAGCTTATAACAAAAAATGAAAGAATCTTATAGTCATGCACTGATATGTAACAAACTTTTCTTCAAGAACAATAAAATCAGAAACAGAAATCTTGCCTGGTATTTCCATTCCTCCATATGTTATGCCAATCTTGTATTTCCCTGGGACTGTTGGCATGAATTCTATCAGTTCACCTTCACCATCAGGTGTTCCTTTCACTTCAATTGGTAAGTGGCGTCCTAGAGGGCTGGTCACTGTGACGTCTAACTCAGCATATCCCGCATCTTGACGATTCACTAAGACAATATGAGGCATTTGAATATTACTATTTCATATGTACACTCATAGGATATACTAATTTATATCATAAAAGTGGCTGTATCTTGCAAGCTTATACGTGAAATAAAGTGTAAAATCTGGGCATTAATATTTTGAGGAAATAAAACAATAAACTAACTAAGAGAAGTGATTTAAAAAAGACAAAGACAAATGCTTTGTTAATGAGAAAACCTAAGTTCAGTATAATTGCAAAAAAACCACCAGTTATTAACATATCTGCTTATTTAAATATAACAAAACCATATAATACAAACAGAACTAATATGAATGAGCACAGCAAGTTAACATAATTATTGTCAGAAAAATGAATCACATATGGTAACAATTTCATAATATTTATAAACAAATCTGACAGTAATAATGTTTGAAAATTACATTGCACACCACAAGAAGGGAAAGGTAACAGCAGCCTTAGATTTATCATAGATTTTAAGTGATTCACAATTTGAACAAATGTCACACTTACATGCAAAAGAAATTTTTTCATTCACAAAAAATGTTGTGTTTTTTGTCCTTTGAATTGTCACATGATTAGAATCAAACACTTCACAGATAAAGGGTGAACCTGATACAGCCTTTCCCAAATATAGGACCTCGATCTTGTAACCACCTGAAGACAAGCAAAGATATTAAACTGGAGCTTTTCATAATAAAAATACGTGAAACTCATAAACTCTGGTTAGTAGAATGTTGTGTTTACTTTTGTAAGGATAAAATTGTTTTTTTATAGGTTTTAATTTTGTCTCTACAGATTGCAAGACTCAAATAGGTGTATTTCTTTTGTATTATTGTTACTGTAATAAATCTTGATCTTTCAATTATGAGAAGAAAGATTTGAAAAATTCTGAGTTTTTATTCCATCATAGAAAATACTTATTTTTTCTTTCCTGAGAGAAAATATCAGCATTTAGGATAGAACTGTTGACTATAGAAGCTATAAAACAGTTTTATAGAGAAGTAAGATAAAACAAGTATAACCTGCAAATTGAGGGCTCCATTCAGCTAACAAACTTCCATCTTTTTGATGATAACATCTAACTGGTACAGGTGAGCCTGAAGGACCTAGAAATAATGTTTTAGAAATAATAGTTGACTCACAAAAGAGTAATAAGATATTCAGACTAATAAAGCCATGAGTTTAAAATACAATATTCCAAAACTTGAAATTTCACAAGTGAATATAGCTAGCTAATTCCTGTTAAAATAAGACTATGATCACACAGAGTTTTATGCTTACCTGGGAGAAACATTTCAATATTTTAGTAAAAATCAACTTCAAACACACCACAATTCACTGCCTTTTTACTTTTTTTTTCATTCATCTGGATTTACAGAAATATAAAAAGTTAATTATCTTAAAATGATAAGTTAAAGAATAAAAAATGTCAATGAAAGAGGATAAGGTATATAGAAAAAATAATGAATGCAAGCTCCATACTTGTAATAAAAACATCAAAATCGTTGGCACCACCAAATCCACCAGTTTCAATAAAAAAAGTTGCATCTCCTCCAAGAGGAAGTGACTTCAGGCCTGTTCCATGGACTGAGATTGTATTTGTAAGATCTCGTACTTCTATAATCTGTGGACAGTCTGAGAGAAGCAGAACAAGTTGGGAATTAAACAGGTTTAACAAAAGTGTAGTTTATCTAATTGCCTTTAATGCATGTCAAAACATAATTTTCATTTGAATTAAATAGTCAACGACTAATGTTTTTACATTTGTAGATGTTAACATATTTCACAGGAAACAAATGATACAAAAGGCATATTTGTAAAGTATAATATACTGGGTAACTCTATGTGCATAAATGGAAATAAAAAGTTTGCAAACCACAACCTTTTACAGAGTACCATTCAACATGACATTACGTATCTAACGTCAAAGTTATCAACAATTCATTTTACCCTACATTGCTGATTTAGCGACAGTTCATGGTAGAGGAGAGTAGATACAAGATACAGTGTACGGAGATACTGAAAAAAAAACTGTATATATGCATGTTGGAAGTTCTAGAAGTTGTGGAAATGAAATATGCAAACTATACAATGGATAAATGTATTTTCATTCTTCTCACAAACATCACCTTGCATACTGACTTGTCACAGTCTGCATCAGACTGATGTTTTCAATCCACAGACTTATCTTGACAACAAATAGTTTTGATAATCATCCGATTTTTTATTTACAATAGACTTATAGATTTTAGTCAAAGCTTGCCATATTTCATGAAGATACACATAGCAAATTCCAGATTTTATTCAATATTCCTTCTCCAGTATGGGGTCAGTCCAGTGGGCTGGGCATATTCATGTTTGGTTAAATGGAATTTCAATGGTTTAACTTAATACATAAAATTTATTTCTGTAAGTTTTTTTTTATCAAATTTACAAATAGCAACTATCAAGTTGTACTTAATGGTTTTAATATAAGACTCTTGTGGCTCAAAACAATGAACTTTTGGTTGACGGTCAAAGTAACAAGACAAATGTGGAAAATATCCAGTTAAACAATTAATGGTACAGTAATATATTTTAATACTGTGCCATTAATTATTAATACTCAATTTAGAATACTAGGTAAAAATTGAAATATCATGAAAACTTTGTATCCTACTTTTCATAATACTATCAGCAAGTTTGTTTTGAATTCATGTGACTTTGATCCACTACACTCAACCATATTTACAAACTATGATGTCTCAATTATAAATGTGAACAGCTGTTTGTAAGTAAAGTGTACCAGCAGATTAGACAAGTAAACGATACATTTACGTTTGTTAATGTTAAGAGGTGTGGTATTTTTTAAATTATTTATTTATCTAATTTGTTGTGCACTTTTTATATTAATTAGTTATTCAAATTTTACTTTTAGGGATAATAATAATAATAATAAATTATTTGTCAGTATCTTTGTCAGATACAAGATCAAGAGGAAGATCTCTTTTCTATCATTTATAATCATAACAAACATTAAAAAAAATAATAATAACCAAAACAAGAAAGACAAAGGCAATAATAAAGTGTTCATTCAGATTGTTCTTTATGACCCCAAAGATATTCCTACTTACAATGAAAATAACTTGCATTTTAGAATGTGTAAAAATACTAAAACAAAGTCATAAACATGAAAGCACTTCTTAAATAGTCCAAATTCACTTCTTATATCATATTTACAATAACATATCATTTCACCTCATTATGCTCATATCGGTTGCTTGAGCTATAACCCTCATATTCAATCTCTCCTCAACTTGCATTACTTAGATATTTTGATATGTTATGAGTTACTGAACGAAGATGTTTTTCTGTTAAAAACTACTTTGAACACTCAAAACTGTGGCTTTAGCATTATGGTAAATAATGAGAAAATTTTGACTTTTTTTTTCTGTTTACAATATTATATTCCTTTTTAAAAAATAAGACTAAAAAGTCAAAATATTCAAAAAAAATCATAATCTACATGAAATTCTCTTTTTAGAATAACCTTATTTGCAAAATATTTTATGTATATAGCAGCACCCTCTCCAGATATAATGATAATGTTCACCATTTTGTTTCTGTTTACCCAATTGATCAGAAATTGGTGTTAAACAGTTCCAATTTTTTTAACTATTTCAATGAGGTGCTACTTGAATACTAACTCCACATTTACCAGAATGTCTTTTTAAATTTCTCTGAGTTATAATTTAGAACATCCTAAGTATGGTTCAGTTCTGTGCTAAATTCAGCCTTAGATGTTACTTTCTGTTGCAGAGTCTTGATCACAGGAGTTATCTGCTGTTATCAGATATTTGTTTCTTACTGTACTTTGTATATATATATATATATAGAGGACTGGTTTATGTCTGTCTCATGGAAAGATACTTCCAGATTCTTTTGATTCATCATTTTTTGATTGGTCTGCTATAGAGAGAGGGTGAATTGTAAATGAAACTGCAGCATTTTCAGATAGATTTGAAAGAGACAGAACTCACTATAGAAGTGTCATTCTTGTTCCAATGTTTTACACAGAGTCTGCTGATTGTGTGAAGTTGATCTTAATTTTCAGTAAAGTTTATTCTTATCTACTTTAAGAATATACAATTTTAGTTTATTTACTCTTTTCAGTTAAATACCATTTTCTATATTTCAATTTTGCCACATTGTAATAGTCCTATCACTTCAACAATTAGATACCCTTCAATTTATCTTTAACATTAAAGTGTATATTTTTGTTTCAACTTCAAACTAAGTCTTGTGTCTCTCATTCCACCATTACAAATCACTATACCTGTCCTTCCACATACTTAGGTTCTCAAGTCTCTAGTTATTATGGAGATTAAGTAACTGTGTTATTGAATTAGCACATGTTCGACCAAGGTTAGTAATGCAGAAGTGTTTTAATGTGACAGAAGTAAATACTATGTGTAAATGTGACAACCTAATCTTGTTGTAGGTATGACTCTATACATGCCTGAATGGTAAAATTTAATAGCAAAAAGTTAGTTAGAACGTTTTTTGCAAGCTTTCATCTTTTTACCTATAATATACTATTATTAAACAGTTTCTTTAAAGAATGTAGTCTAAAAAACTAATGATAACTATAAACAGTTATATTTCTAAAGCAGTTTGGCAGTAAAAGGTGCATGGAAATAAGTATAAGAACCAGTACTGAAGAGAAAAAGGTTGTGATCCGAGAGTATATGCTCTATGGAATGACCCCCCTCCCATTAATATTAGCACCATCCCAGAGGGGATTGCATCCATTAAAGTCTCCCAAGATTAAAAAGGGAGACAGCAACTGTTCTATGAGAGCATCAAGGTCTGATTGATCATAAGTCTCTCCGGGAGGCAGGTAGAGAGAACAAAGAGTGATGGTATGACCCAAGGCAACATGGATGGCTATGGCCTTCAAGAGTGTATAGAGTGACACCAACAAGATGGGCACGTGCTGGATCTATCAGCAGTGCAACCCCTACATGCACTCGTCCATCACACAACCTGTCATTCCAGTATAAAGAAAACTGCCCAAAAGGTGACTGTATCGGCAGTTTTCAGGAATGTTTCCTGCAAAAAAAGAAACACGGGATGATAGGAATCGATCAAGGCCTTAATGTCATCCAGATTAGAATGAAAACCTTGATAGTTCTACCGTATCAAAGTAGCCACTTTTACTTAGATGGAGGAGAACCTCCATGGATCGTGCCCTTGGTCAGGTGGGCAGATCTCTGTCATTAGATTTAGATTCCAGCAACTGAGGGTGTGAGTGAATAATCGTTCTGCATCGTGGGGCTGAAGAAGATGGATCCAAGAAGCCGGGGCCAAAGGAAGTGGACCCGAGTAGTCACTGGAAGGAATGGTGGGGACAGAGACAGGAGTAGAAGTTGACTTGTGAACTCGGTTATCCATTTAGGGCAAAAGACTCTTCACATGATGCAAAAAAGACTCTGATGGATGCACATAAAGGTCCATATGCACTCCCACTGTAGCAATGCAACATAGTGCAGTGGCATATGTCCAAGATGGAGTAGAGGACAATAATGTCTGAGCCTCAGGGTAAGAAATATTGTTAACAGTTTTTAAATACTGTACCTCTTTCTCCTCCACCCACTTAGGACAATATCTATAGTAAGAGGGGTGGGAACCACTACAATTAACACAGTGAGGGTCCACTTCACACTTGTAGGCTTCATGGTCTTTGCCACCATGATGAGCACACATCACAGAACCATGACAAGATGCCTTCGAATGACCGAACTGCTGACACTGGAAATATATGGCTATACCTTACAGTTCAGATAACCTGCCTTGACAGTAGCAGGTGAATGTGGCAATGTAAACATCAAAATAAGAACATTGGTAGGCAGCATAATTCCTTCTTTTTGAGTGGAGATACACCACACCGCAGAGATTCCTTGGCTGGAGAAACCAGCGAGGATCTCTGACTCCGGAATGTTCTTCAAATCCCTCTCAATAATAATCCCTCTTGAGGAATTCAAAGTAGCATGGGAAGTAACCTCAATGGGTATATCCACAATGGTCTTCAACTTGAAGAGGAGTTCGCTATGTTTTGGTGTAGACATTTCCATGAAAATGTCCCCAGAATGTAGCTTCTTGAATGACTTTGGAGAGCCAGCAAGCCCCTCTAATCCCTTCTCAATAAAAAAGGAGACATTTGTCCTAAAGGTTTTTCAGACAAGGAATGCAAAATCTAAAAACAAGGTACAGGAGCAAGATGAGTTGAAGATTGATGATCACAGTCTTCATGGCATTGTCGTTTACTAACAAGCTGAGTTTTTACTATTTTATTTTTTTGAGGATTTGTGGGATCCATAATATAAGGAGAAAGATTCAGTGCCCACTGACCCCACCCACCATGGGGTCTTACGAGGGGACACATTACACTGCCAAACAAGGACACTGAAGCAACACCAGGGTTTTGTGAGCACTATACACAAACACCAGCATCAGACACAATGTTCACAACACCCATTAAGAATGGGGAACAACCCAAGGTCATCTGTCTATAGAAATTCAAGGCCAAAGTGGTGTGTTGCAGTGCCCCAGACGTCTCTCAACCACCAGGATCCTCTCCCCCCCTTTCATGAGTTGCCACACACAGCAAACACGTGGATGGATGTTCAGATCCTATAAAAGGTAAATGAAAATACAGAACCTTCGCTGGGAGGTCCCCTCACCACATACAGAAATCCATCTCAAGGGGCCTGTTGAAAATAAATCACTTTTGTTTTTTTATTTTCATGGCAACATTTCAAGCTATAAACAAGTCTGTTGGTTAATGACATACTACCGAGGGATGAAACACTTTAATCTGTTTATTTTGTTACCTTTACATATTTTTGTTTCTTAATTGAACAGAAAAATAAGTTGCCAAAGAAAAACACTTTTATAAAGGTAAATTTATCATTCTAGACTTAACAAAAGTTCAAAAGGCAATTAAATAGTAATGAAAATGAATGCATAGCAATGATGAGTATGACTTAAAACTTGAAAAGATAGAAGTATCATCATCAGATTTATGACTTTCTTCATAACAGTTTTAACAGCTGATGATACTTTCCAACATTTTTAATCAAGCATTTACTAAAATGACTGAAAAGTTATCTCCAATATGAATGATATGAATATATATATATAGAGAGATTAAATGTTTCAAAAATAGTTTCATAAATGCAATTTTTAACTAACACTTTTAATTTTTATTTCATTTTTACTTGAATTTGTTTATTTTAGAGCAAATCCATATTGGGCTGTCTGTTGTGTCCACCATGGGGAATTGAACTACAAATTTTAGCATTGTAAGTCCATACACATACCACTGTCCCAACTGGGGGTCTTTTTACTTGATGATTACACTGTGTGTGCAAATGTGACAACATAGTATTGTTACAACTATGAATTGTTTTCATGCATAGATGATAACTTTTCATAACATTTCTGACATTAAATCACACATTTTTTTGTTCTCTACATTTTTAATGAATATTTAAAACTTGTTTTTTTATAAAGTTCTATAAAATATTTTCATTAACATGTAAATTTTTATAAAAATATGAAAACAATAATAAGTAAAACTTTTGTTTTACCTGTCAACTGGTGGTTACTGTAATACACATCAACTTTGTGTGGTACACTGGAATTAGGAGTATATGTCACTTGATACACCCCTTGACTGAGTTCTCGAACGGAATGACGAACTTCTTGACCCCCAGCTACAATGTGTACAACCAGATTACCTTGTCCAGCTTTTGTTGTGTCCACTTAGGTCAAATAAATTTAAAAAAAAGTTAAACAAGTTAAAATTATACATTCAAAAAACAGCAAAATTAAACACTATCTTAAACACCATTAAATGCAAAACTTTTTGGAAATAGCATGTCCAAAATAAACATACTATTCTCTTTACAAGTAATCTAACCTAGCTACATGTCTCTATTTTATATTAATTTTGCAACAACATTCTTTCCACCCTTAACCCCTATCATGGTATAATGTTTCACTAGGCATTAACAGCTAAAAGATGGTGCTAATGTCTTTCTTCTATGATTAAACTTAATTTTCCATTTTTTATTTCCTACATAAATAATCTATGTAGGTTGAGTAGGGTATAATTAAATGATTTCTCTGATATTCAGATTACAAGACTTATTTTTCACTGCAGCAAACATTACTTTAAAACCAAAAAGAATTTATTAAAAAAACCTTAACTACAAATAACTATCTTCAACATCAGTTGAAAGTGGAGTATGAGTATCTAAAGACAAAAATATGGAAACATTTTGGTAGTTGTTTTTACTTACAATTGTAATATTAAAGGAAATGCATATTGTTCATGTTCAGTTGCAGTTAAGTTCAATATGGATGAAGGATCCTTAATATTAGGAGTTCACCCATTAGAAATACTGTTTAATATTTTGACATCATCAAGAGAAAATTAACAATCATAACAGTCACTGTGTTGGTGGTAGATATGCAACAGATTTGATATATCTGGCTTCAAGTGCTTTGAACAAACTGTTTCAATGAGAGCAAGGAACAAGTATAATTGTTTTAAAATGTTCTACATTAAAGAATACGTGTGTCATTTTTCAGTTGGCAAATGGCTTTTTTCTAGGAACTCAAATGACTCAAAAGCCTGAAGACTAATTCTAAAAATCCTTTATACATCACATTACATAATTCAATTAAAGTATCTCATTACTGACCACTTTTGTTCTGTAGTATTTTTTGTGTACCTATTACATTAAATTTGAATGCAAGTTATGTCTGTTATAACTTTGAAAATTATGTTTCATATTATCATGTAGTTTCATGGTATAAAAAATGAGAGATTAGTGACCACACTTGAACTTAAAAAGTGTCATATAATTTTTTTATATTTCAAATATTTAAAAATCAATAAAAAGTCAAAGCATAAATTTCTAACTTTTTATTTATAAAATTCAGCAGCAAAGCTATATATAATAAATATATTTTATAAAGCATTGTTTAACAGCAAAATAGCTGACATATACTTAAAACTAGCTTTCTTATTAAACTTTTAAAGGTAGTAGTGCAACTGTCAGGGATGTAGCTAGAAATTATTAATAGTTGTTTCTTTTTGTAAAGATGAATGATTATCTTATGATCAACCTCCTATGCAAGGGCTCTACGACTCCTCACCAAGAGAAAATTTAAAAACTAGATGTTCTGAGATCCAGTTTAAGGCTATTTTGGGTGAAACAAAATAAACTTTTATCAAACATGGGAACACTAATAATTTTAATAATATTTGTATTTTTAAATCTTATGTTTAGACAAACTTAGTATGAAAATGTAACTAAGCTGTGGTTAGTTACTTTGGATTCTACAGTCTACTTGCTGCATCACACTGGTAGTTGTCAGGGAGATACTTTCCTCCTTAAAAAGATGAACAGCATAAGTTACATTGTTTCATTGTGGCAGCTGTAACAGTGGGAAAATTTCCCTTATCTGCAAGAAGATCCAGGGACTGCCAAGTTAATCTGACATCACAATTGTACTACTTATGACAAGTACAAAGTAGGATGTACTGTGACAAAAATTATACATTCACACCACTTTTTATGAGCTTGGCATCTTGTGAATAGAAAACAGCCAAAATTAAAGGTTAAAATTAAGGTTAAAACTTGAAAACAAATCTCATGCAGCAATTTTTTAAAGTACAAACTATCAAAGTATATTTGCTACGTTCCTAACTTCTAAGTTTGACATCTTGTGGCATCAGTACTCTACTGGTTAAAGCAGCAAACCAACTAGAAAGCCATAAAATTAAAAAAGACAGAAAACTCACCATGGGTTCTGTAAACACACAAATATACTGTAAAACTGTACAGATAACAGTGCATCACACACTTTGAGGACCAAAGGTAAAAAAATATATACAATCTTTGTGTGAAGAATTTAAGCCTCAAATAAAATAACAAAATTACTGTCGAATTTTGAAGGAATCTTGTAGCAATCCAATTTCATGGTCTTAACACTTGTGTTTTTAAAATAGTAATTTTAATGTGAAAAAAGGTACAATTGGTAAAAGTCTGTTCAATACTCATAGAATAAGCTGGTTCAAAAAGATCTGACAAAAAGAAAAATTACATTCTCTGTGTTATTCAAGAAGGATTCTGTAGACAGTTGGTTAAAAGGAAATGCTTTGTCTCTTTATCTGTTTCGAGATAACTTGATCACATTAGACCATCACATGCAACGAGTTAGTGAAATTGATGCATGTTAGAAACTAAGAGGACTGTAGAAGCTAAAGATGAGCTCCATATTTTGTGATGTGAAAGAAAGAATTCAAAGATCAAGAACTAAAATATTGTGCTCAAAAATTATATATAAACTGATTGCTTCATGCTAACAAAGAAATAGAAAAGATAAGGTTCAACTTCAGTTGTTGTGCCTAATGTTGCATTTACAATACTAATAAACTCTGATATTAATTTATGGAGTTCAGAAAATTTGGAAAACTTTGTCAAATTGCATATAAGGCTTAAGTTTTCATTATCAAAGATATATTGATTAGGCAGAATATTTTTAAAAGAAACTTACCTTTTATATTTCTACTCAACAACTGTAGCACTTTGATCGAATCTTGCAATTAATTTTGTCAGGTTAGACTGACTGTAAACATTTTAAAAGTTACTTGGAAATCTCACCTTTAAAATTCTGTTCTCTTCCAATAATTCCATCAACAAGATCTAAAATCTTTACTTGAGTGGGGTCACATACTTCCACAAGGTATGGTTTGCTGGTTATAGGGTTGCCACGGTGAAGAACTTCTATTCTATGAGTTCCTGCAGTTTGAGGGTGATACTCAGCCTGATATAAGTTGTGATCCAATCTCAATACTGAGGCTGGAATTCTAGAGTCTCCTGGTCCTGAAAAATTTATTTGACATAAGAGGAGACTAAAATGGGATAGTAGAATAACAAGAAAACGTTAGTGTAGAGACATTGTTTTAAACGTTTAGATTATTGTAAAAGTAAATAAAACTAGTGTATAAACACAATCTTTGTTTGCTTTTAATTTTTATTAAAATAAGATAAACTTTTACTTCTCCTCAAAGTTATCTCCAAAAGCTTGTTTTACTTATATCTTTGTTGTTCTTAAGATAAACAGTCCTCCTTTTTTTTCTAATGTTACAAAACATTTTGGTATTGAAAATTATGAAAAGGATTAAAATTGTAAAGATTAAGTCACTAATTACTAAAGAATAGACTTCCTAAAATATGAAAACACAGTTATCATTATTATGAAAACAATACTAAGCTGAAGAAATATAAAAAAATTACAAAAGATAGCATAAGCACCATAAGCATAAGAGATCAACTAAAATATCTAAACTAAAACATGCAAGTCATTAAAAACTCACCAATCACACATATCTCAACACTACCATCCATTTCCTTGGTTTCAATTTCAAAAGTGTTTAATGAACCAACTACACCTTGTTTCAGTCCTTCACCCTTTGCTATTAACGTGGAACTACTCCTAGTACTACTAGATGTTGTTGTTAACTTTGATTCATTAACAGTGCCTTCCCTCACTTCTATTTTAAATGGGCTACCTGAAATAGATAAATAATGTAAAACAATTATTCTGACAGTAACTTTTTCTTGTTCAGTCTTTAATTCTTTTTAGGTAACATATTTTTATACTCAATCATATGATTTAAATAACATATATCCTATAAAAGTATTGAAATAAAAAAGTAAAAGCATTTTTCTTTAAATATAGTGATTTTAGTCACCTTTAGAAGGACATGTTAAAAATAAATATGTAACATATATTGACACAAAATGTTAAAAATACTTATTGAGATGGGGCAATTTATCCCCTAAGATTAATGGATAACAAATAATGTAAATTCATATTAGCTATGATCAGATTATTCCTTATGTAATTAAAAAACTTTACAATACTTCAACTACCAGCTTATTATCCTCAGCTAATTTTTATAGATAGTTTAAGCTTTTTATTAATTAAATGTTTAAAAATGTTTGTCTGAAGAGAGCTCAACATAAGCTAAAAATGCTTGTGAAATAAGTAAATCAAAATTACCTGGCACATCTTCTTCATTAAAAGTGGCATTTACATAATGAGACATTCGATCCTGAGGAACAAAAGTGACATCATATAAACCTCTGCTTTTCATTGACACTTCGGCTCGAACAGATGATTTTCGGGTAGTAATTACCAGTTCTAAAGTTCCTTCACCAGCCTGAGATGCATCAACTACAAAGAAATATGTGTAGAGACATTGCATAAATTTACCGAAATTTTTGTACAGAACACAATAAACATTACACATCAATACATTCTAAGATATATATACTGGATGGCAGTATTTTAGATAATGCATCATACAGATGAAGTGTGCAGAGACAAGCAGTGTGAACATTAGATTTGTGAGGTGAAATTATCACTCTAGGGAATAAGAAAATACATTCATAAAGTGAAGTGCATGTATTAAAGAAGGATATACAGAAAACATTAATATGGTAAAGTGAACAAGATGAAGAGATGTACAGATAATATGTTACTATGGTGAAGTGTAGATTTTACCTTCATGTCTTTAAAGCCTATAATTCAGGCCCTACTGCTTATTACCTATATAAAAATGATTCATATGTTCTTTAATATTTTTTTTTGTTTCATCAGATTCTGAAAGTTGTTTTAACAGTTAGCACAAAGATAGAGCCTTTTTACCTTTTAATAATTTCTGCAATTCTTGTTTTTATCATGATCATCTAATTTTTAAGGAATCATCTGTTTTATTTTTTTCTCTTCCAAAGCAGTATAATGTTTCTATTTATACTGGACAGTCCTTTTTCAGCATTCACTTGATGTAACTTCTGTATCTCTGTTTGTAGCAGAATGCTGTGAAAGTTTTACTCATTTTGCAATTGTAGAGAATTCTTGCTACATTTATCTTCAACCCACCAAAGAAAGAAATATTTTCTTCAAGTAAACATTCAACATTTTCACTTTTTTTTTGTCCACGTTTTAAGAACTTTTTGTTTTTCCATTCTAGTTTCAAACCAAAACAAAGTACAATGCAATTACAAAAGCAAATATTAATGCACTTTCAGATATGAATCTTGATTACTGGGAATTCTCTTTTTGTAGATTTCTTAATTTTCTAATCCATTTTATCCACTGTTCTCAACTTGTTTTAAAACCTGATGTACAGTAATATAATAGCCTGAGATGAAACTACAGGAAATATAGTTATTTTACAAAGTATTGCTAGCCTGAATATAGTAAGTTTGGAAAAGTCGAATTACTCTAGGTCATGTGCCTAATGTACAGTACACAACATTAATATAGCATATCTTAAGTTTATTTAAATATATAACAAATATATTAACTGAAATTTAACAATGATTTATATATAAAATAAACTACAAAATAAATAAAAACCCTAATTCTGCTTAAACTACTTTCAAATTTGCAAATCAATACCAAATACAGCAACTTGAAACATCACTGTTATGAAACTAAGTGAGTATAATCAGATATTTGTAAACAGTCCATAAGTCACACCAACAAAATTGTTGCCCAGCAAACAGGCATATGATCCCTCTTTTTTAAGATTATAATCTATATTTATTCACATATAAAATATTTTTTGTAATGCTATTTCATATTTTAAGTCACAGAAACTGCAAAAAAGAAAAAATCAGTCATTCATTGTATTTTTTTAAAAAAACTTTTGTTTGTTTTCAGTGCAAAACTACATTATGGGCTATCTGTGATTTGTCCACCATGGGGAATCAAACCATGGATTTTAGTTCTGTAAGTAGATAAACTTGCTGCTGACCCACAGGGGTACTTGTAATATATAGGAGAGGTAATTTGATTAGAATGTGTTGCTGCAGCTTATTAACTGATGAAGACCTGTTGGTTTAAGAATTTTTAGCAAAGCTACACAAGGTATATCTATGCATAGCCAATCCAAATTTTGAACTGACAGACTAGAAGAAAGGTAAATAGTCAACAGCACTTACTACCAAACTCTTGTCTGATCAAACAGAAAAATTTAACAGTCACTGTTATAGTGCATCCAAAAATTGAACAGGTGGAACACATTTTTTTTTGGCAACAGGATACAAACCATGAATTTTCAGATTTACAGTATAGTTCACTAATCATTAGGCCACTCCCAGTTGAACTTGGGTATAACAATTACAGACAAATGAAAATATATGACCAATCAGTAAGGATACAAGTATACATAATTCAATCCTTTTTTAAATGAGTAAACTATCTTGCCTTCCTTGATGTATTTTATAAGCTTAGCATCTGACTATTATACTTCTGTAAACATGTAGGTTTTGCTTGATAATCCTCAATTTTTACATCTATTTTACAGTCTCCAAAGGAATGTGAAGTCAAAAATGAAATATTATAGATTAAAAAATTCATGACAAAATCCAAAGGATATTTTATTATTATCTAATCAACAGACAATTTCATATTCAGTTAGCTTTTGTTTATTTATTGTTAATCACAAAACAACATAATAGGCTATTTGTGCTGAGCTCACCATGTGTAATTAAACCCTATTTTTAGCATTATAAGTCTTCAGACTTGTTAAAGTGATGTAATGTATTTTGACTTTTTCAGTTTTCTATACATCAGTGTCTGTTAAAATAAATAGCAATTGTTAGTGCTTGTCAAGCACTGAATAGTGATTTTTCTGTAAGGTTATAAGAAAGGGAAGTAAACAAACTGTAAAAGAAAATTGAAATAATTATTCTCAGTAGTATTATAAATTCAAATGAATGAAGAAATTATTAAGAGTGGATTTATGTCAAACTTATTAATATTAAAAGTCTTGAATAAACCATATAAATTCTGTATAAACATCGAATTAAAAATAAAATATAAACATACCTTGAAAAGTGTATGGTTTTCCAGCCACACCTGGGCTCATATTTCTAATTTTAATTTTACTAATATCATACACATTGCACATGAAAGGACTTCCCAAAACAGGATTTCCATCTAATGTAACTATCACCTGATGTGGACCTAATAAAAAAAAAAGTTTTGTAATTTCTTTATCTTGAAAAAGCATAAGTTAAAAAGTTAATGCAATATTTTCACAGCTAATTATTATAAAGGAGTAACTAATACTTTTGCCATGGATTATCATTATTTAATTATCATAAATATATCAATGGAAGGACCACAGGATTTGGAAACAATTATTTAATGATGCAGAGATCTGGTTAATGCAGAACAAGTTCACAATTAAAAAAAAAAAAATCGAACTGTCCAATATAGGTTTGGACAAGAAAATATCACAACACAAACAAACACTAAAAGAAGTATAAAAAAATGATCAAAGTGGGATTAAAAACAAAGACTACCCTAAGTTTAACTTTTAGAGAAAATTGTCTTTCTTCTTTTCCCATTTACTCTTAACCCTTTCCCCATTTTAGATCATTTAATGGTTTTATGTATATGCTTATTTGACTACTTATCCAAGTAGGTATTAGTGAAGCATATCTTTCTGGTATTATTGAAACAGAATGGAGCAGAGAGTTTTAGCAACTAAAAATTTTAGGTTTACATTTTCTCTTGAGTGAAAGTAACTTAACCTATCATCATTCACATGTACTTTGAGCATCACATGTGAGACTGATATGAACCTCTCTTCTAATCTCATAATTTGAACCAAAACAACCAGTTTCTACTGCCATGTTCACAAATATTATCTGCATATCAAGTAAATGTAGCTGTGTATCACATATGATACTCAGGCACTTTAGCATTATGTCATGTGAATCACATATGATGTTCAGGACAGAGATAGGGTTAAATATTTGAATTCTGGATTATTCAGTTTTGAGGAGAATAATTTCAATGCATTACTAAAATCATAATGATAATAATAGTCCTAAAGTGAAAAATATGGTGAAATAATTTCCAAAGCACTATTTAAAACAAACATGATACATTCTGAACTAAAATGAGAAAACTGGATGTTCATTGCTTTTTTAGTGCAACTTTTTTATTACATATATATATATATATATATGAAATAAAAAATTAGTTATCTTTCTTACCAACTTCCACAGGAGAAAACTGTACTTCAAAAGTTGTAGTTGATGTTTTAGTTATCTCCACAGGAATCTTCTTTGATGAGGGGCCTATGATTAAAAAATTAATTAAAAACAGTCTCAATCCATAAGAAGAGTAGTCATATTCATGATTGAAAATCTATCATGTAAATTACATGCCAGACAGAAAAATAAATTCTCCAATTTTTTAAATTGTTTCAAAAAAATGAAACACAAGTTTTCTGTTCTATCAGGACTTCACATATATTTGAAGTTGACTGTTGATCTTTCTCTCTTCGCTAAACACACTGCTCTTAAAAAGTAATAAATTTATTTTACAATTTAAGTAACATTTGTCCATGTTGACCAGCTAATGTTGAAAGGAGACTTCAACTGGAGGATCAGCATAGTTTCTTTCATAACAGTGAATCCACACAAGATCTTGAAGTAACTACTAGTGAGGTCTTTGTTCCAAGTTTAAATGCTAACTGATATAAAAGTAAATTATGAGTATAGATGTTATTGCTTAAAAAATGGATCTAACTGGACAGTTTCTTTTAAGTTTTTTTTTTCAAAAGCCATCAAACTTTTATTATAAAAATTTACTAGAAAAAAGATAGGAAACTGATGATCTCATTCAGTCACATCCAAGATAAGGTTAAAACAAACTAATATACAACATTTTCTCTTTGAACATAATGTAATTATGTATAGTTGTAATAACAATACAAAAACAAATGACTTAATAATTTTTGTTAAAAACGAAGACTACCTCACCCACCCTATAATCCTAGAATTACTGGAGCCTATATGGCCTATTAAACATTTTTGTCTAAGTAATTATGCCCCCAAATTGTTTGTGGGTCAATTACTTTTTGTCAATTAGTTACAGGACCCCTAATAGCATATGAATCACATACACACACACACACACACATAAAAAACAAAAAACAATTCAATATTGAAATATATCCCACTGAGTACTGTTAGGGTCTCCATGAGTAATTTACATAGAAAATGAGTGATTCAGTCCAACTCGTGGTCAGTTCTGTACTCTGAGTGTTGTAATATGGGAAAACATAAAACTAATCAGTATAATTCAATATGTGGACTTTATCAGTAATGAGTGGTATAAATCAAGTCAGTAATTTAAGGGATGAAATTGTAGAAAACAGTCACAAGTTACATTGGAATGGCTACTCAAGTGTAGTTTATTTTGCTGTTCTTCACAGTGCTGTTGCTGAGCAAAATTATTATGTTGTATAGACTATTTAATATATTCAAGGTCTTGATAAAAGTCAAGAATATCATTATTACATTCTTTTAAATAATATGAAGCTACTGAAGTAAAAATACAGAAAACGAAAGTAGTTTTGTGGTAATAAAATAATACTAATAGATGACCAAAATTCTTATTACTTAAATCTTGAAACAGTAAACAACAAAATTTCTGTTTTTTTATGATGAATTTTATGCTTGGATATTGATCATTCATATATTATACAAAATATCAAATGTAAAATTTTTAAGTAAAAAGTCATAAAAGTGTCATCATAAACGGAGGCTTATATTTATGAAACACATTCCTGTTTATGATAACAAAAGAGCAAAGTCGCTAAAGTATGAGGCAATGTTAAACCATTAACCTGATAACATATAGTACAGTCAAGTACAAGATGTAATTTTTTGGTGGCAACTTTCAAATAGTCAATAAAAACTACATTAGTCAAACTATAAACATAATCATAATTACTTAAAACCAAATCAACCTTCATCTGAATCAGTAGTACTGTACATGGTTTCATTGTCAAAACTAGTAAAATAAACTGATTCATCAAAATTAGAGAGTTTCATTCTACTAGTGTGGTAAATTAAGGATAAACTCAACACACAGTTACCTAATCACACAAATTATAGATTCAAGTATCAAGTATATAGAATTAGGTGTAGTAATCTGCAGTGGTGGAATAAAAGAGACAAGATAAGGTGTTGAAGTCAAAGTGAAAATAAAACATTTACTTTTAGGAAGCAAAAGGAAGAAAGGTTGTTCAACTAATGGCAGACTATTGCAGTGTAATGTAAACGAAAACAATTTAATAAATAAAGTATATTTAGCAAAGCATGATTTAAAGTAAACTGTACTTATATTTGGATGAAAATTACAATGTATGTAACAGTAAACTGAGAAAAAAAAAAGGACTTCACAAGCAAGTCTTCTGCCTGAAAAGCCATCAAAACTGCTTTCCTGATTCACATTCTCTTTGCAGCTGACAATTAGAAAACTGGATTATAAGAATCCAGAAGTATCTCTACTCCATTTGGCAGTAACAAAGTAGTCTCCATACACAAGTACAGTAGAATGCAATACAACTACACCATGAAATAACAGATAGCTTCAGTGATTGGGCCCTGCTACTAAAAATGGCGACTTAAGCTGAATTTAGTAAATGCCCTCAATCAATATTATGTTCTGAATTAGAGCTTAGAAAAATGTGGAATTTTGTTAATATGAAATATATATAGGAGAATGAGACATGTATTATTTCCATACTACAATAGAAAAGACAAAACAATTTTTCAATGTAAATTTGTCACTTGGGATATAGATTTATGAAAACTATTAGAAACCAGGTAATTTATTAACACAGATTTTAAGGTTTGAAAGAATGGATCTGACAAGACAGTTTTTATTTTGATTTGTTTAAGGGTATAGAAAATTTATAGCCTGAAGATAAGATTAAATACTGCTTCAGAAATTACTTTGACTTTCTTAATCTTTGATATCAGGCAGACAGTAGCACTGCCTACATAGGGATGGCTCAGATTGTTCATTGAAATGATATTTTAAATATCCCCTCAATAGCTTATCAGAACTTTACAATACTATACAGTGTTTCCTTTTATAACAATATCTATGTAATGACTGATTCACAAGTTTTGGGAATGTCTATAAATATCATGCTCTTCTTTCTTATGGCATGGTAAATCAAAAACCAAAACAAAGCTGTCACCCAATTTCACTGAGGTGATATAGTTTCAAATGGAGTATCCATATTCATAAGTATTATTAACTAGTAGTAATTTAAAAAAATTAAAATTCTAGTGTAATCAATGATATCATCACCCCTTGAAGTTAGCTTTTTACAGAAATTTGGTGTTCCTTCAAAAAGCTTTAAGTACATGGTGAAACAGGAATTACCAGCTAATAAATGATAAACAATAGATATTACGGTTGGAACCTCAATGTATTTAGAAGTTGGTTATAAATACAACCTTCCTATGTCTATTGAAACACTGCATTAAAAACAAACAAGTAAAGAAAAAACTTTTCAAAAAAGGAAGTAAATGTAGGGATGACCAATATCAATCCTTCAATAACAGTGCAAACAAGATTGTAAGGATGACATTTACATCACCTCTACACAATAGCACAGGCACACAGTGTAGTAGAATGTTAACAGACAAAAATAGGCTAAATTAAACTCAATTGTGATTGAATAGTTATATATATTGCTATATGTTAATTCTTGCCTGTGAGATTATGTAGGGATGATGCAATTGCCATCCCTACTATCTTCTTTGCATTGTTTTTGAAGGATTAATATTAGCCATCCCTACATTTACTTCCTCTTTTTGAAAAGTGTTTCTTTACTTGGAACATTTCTGGGGCTCTACGTTTTCTAGTTGCCATTATTCTTATTTTACTGTTCATTAATTAGGGTAAGTACTCTTCAACTGAAACATCAAACGAACAGCATGTATTTCCAAAAGTGTTGTTTATTTGCTGTGGCTGTGATTACTTTGGATCTTCAGTTTGCTGTCATTCCAGAAATATAAAAGAGCATGGGAAGAAATGCACAGTAAACAAGTTACATCAATAAACATCTCACAAGCTACATGGGTTATAAGTAATTAAACAGTAACAGTTCCAGGATTCTATGTGTGATGCCTCTGATTTTAGGAACTTAAGAGTTAAACTATGTTTTAATCACAACTCTATAAGACGTTTACGTAACTTCAAAAAAAAAAAGTCTTACCAGTGACCAGAACTTTACACTCTGCACCTTCCAGACCTCTAGAGTCAATGGTAAACCTTCCTCCCTTGGCTAAGGAGGCTGTTTTCAGAGAAGAATCTGTTATGACAGACTGGTTTGTGTCTGCAACCTTAACAATAAATGGACTACCTGTTGGTAAAAAGAAATCTAAATGAGCTATTTTTGTCTAATGTAAAATATTAAATGTCAAACTTTCTGCTTCTTAAATAGTGCTGATGTAGTAAACAAGAAATTTACCTGGAACAGATTCCCCATTAAATTTCACACTAACAGTGTGAGCTTCTGGCTCTGAAGGTTTGAAATTAACTCTAAATTTAGCATTTCCCTCAGACTGGACATAATTTGGGACATTTCTTTCTCCGACGGTTACAATTATTTCAAGGTTGCCAGCTCCTGCTTGGCTAGCATCAACTAAAAATAATCATAATAAACACTAATCAAAATAATTTTCTAGCTTCAAATGAAAACACTTTAAATGTCACTTATTTGTTTAAATAACATAATCACTTTACTAATATTTCAAATATACTATAGGAATTATATAAATATTTAATTGTAAAATTTTTTTAAAAACTGTTCTGAAGGTTTTCAGTTATAAATCTAAATCGTATTTGAAGCTAATAGTTAGAGTTTGTGTGTTATGTAGGTGAGTACACTCTATTAATTCTTTAATTGTATTTTCATTAACAGTATTAGTTAGAATGTTTAATGTACCTAGTTTTATTATTTGTACCTTTTTATTATTAAACTTATTATATATATTATTTTACATTGTTAGCTTAATATAACCTAAATCTCCTAAGCTGACCAGATCTCTTGAGATATTATTTGGCTTATGGCCAAAAATATTGATAGCAGTGGGGGTTCCCAAATGATGGAACAATGCATTCTAATCTTTACAAGCAAGAATGTAAGAAAAGTAAATTTAATTAGCATTACTTATTACCAGGTTGATTTTTAGTTTTGCTTTAATTAGGTAGCTTTCTCTGATCAGAATTTGCCATTAATAAATAATAATATTTCAACAAATACTCACTTCCAAAGTAAACTGATTTTCCAATGACTCCACTACCCAAATCACTAACTTTTACTTTAGATGTATCATAAGCTTTGACCAAAAAAGGGCTGCCTCCTGCTGGGTGTCCACCAATCCTCACATCAACTGTATGATCTCCTAGAATTACAGGAAAAGTAAATAAAATGTATGTATAACAGGGCAAAATTCTAGGGTAATATTATACACACTGATATGTTTATCCAAATCACTCTTTTGTAATGGAAACTAATAAACAGTATATCAAATATAGCCTGTTTAGCTAATATGGCATATACACTACTTTTTAAACTAATGTAATACTTTTAATGCTCAACCAATTTAACTTATGTCCCAAATATCTAACTCATTATCATATATTAACAATATCTAACCAAATTAATTGTATTAACTTTTTAATTAATGTATTAACTTCACATTTCTCTGATATTTCACCACAACTTTAAGGTACTAAATGTAATAACTATAACTGTTTCTTCTTCCAAATATGCTACCAGTAAAGAATACTGATTTTTTAAAATACTGTTATACAAGTTATACGTATTCCAATAAATTCTTGACACATAACTAATTATACATTTTTTAAAGCTGTTTTAATTCCTTTTCTGGAGCCTCTAATGGATTGGCCTTCTTATAATTTGAAAGTTAAAGACACTCTGATCTCAAACTGGGTTTAAAAACAGTTTCAAAATCTCTAGAACAAAACATTTTAGTGGCAGTTGTTGCCTTATCACCATTGCTCCAAGTGTAACACTTCCATACAATGTATAATATGTACTACAAATAATGGATCCTATGCAACCTCTAACTTATATGTATCAACTAGACAAACTGTAAGTAATCTAAACTAAATGTAGGCACATCTGACATTATTACTTTTGTGGACATAAACCAAATTATTGAAATCCAGCCAGATTTTATTCATTTTACTTGCAGGATTTTTGAATAAATGTCTTAAAAAAAGTACTTTGGTTTGTTTTAGAAATCCTGTCTTTGTGCATGTTTGCAAACATTTCAATATCCCTTTTCCCTTAATTGTTTTTTAAACATACATGCTCTTTAGTAAGGTAGGATTTCTTACCAACTTCACTTGGGGTGTACTCAACTCTATATCCACTATGATAGTTGCCGTTGATGTACGTTTTTAGATTATGTTGATTTGGACCTAAGGAGAAATAATCAAACTTCAAATATCTGTTTGTATTGCATAAAAACATGCAACAGTAGGAAAAAAATTATGAGAGTTAACTTTTATTACACTACATAATACATAAAAAAATATTATAACTTTTGAGCACAAACTAACATTTTAATTATACACTTTTCTGTTCTAATTAGCTTCTACAATGGAAAGAAACGCTCTTATTTATTTGGGAAAAATATTTTGCACTCATTTTACATGCTAGGAAAATAATACTAAGTTTGCTGTTTGAAGAAATATCTAAATGTTGAGTCAATGAGAAATAATTTTGTTTCAAAAACTGCATAAAAATCCAGGATATTAAAATCATTGTTCTGTGCCTACAGATGGTGATTAAATACAAAACTTTTGGCAGTTGTTAGGGCTTTTATATATATATGGGCTGAGATTCTTTTACAGTAGGTGTCTGTGACTTGTTGGTGATAAATTCGAACAATAAATGGACAGCACATAGTCCACTTGTTTTAAAATAATATATTCAAAACAAGTCAAACATATGTACAAAACTTCTTTACACTATAGGAAATCCCAGTTTTATCTAAAACTCTAAACAATTCTCTTTGCTTGTCAAAAGTCCACTCAGGCTGATTCAACTACCTTAGAATCCAATTGACAAGATGAATTGTTTTTCTCTACTCTTATCACAATAGTATCAGTGAATAATTCACTTACGTTACCCCGTGGGTTACCACAGTTGTATCCTGAACCTTAAATAATTGTGTTCTTTTCGTCAAAGTCCACATAGATGGGTTCAGTTACTTTAGAACATCCTTTGACAAGATAAATTATTCTCCTTTATTAAACTGTGATACCCACTTTAAAATATTGCCCGTTATGGCTAATCACTCACATGCCAGCTAACTTCACGTTTTCTAACTTCTTTTCTGATTGAACTTTCACTTCACTTTATTTTTATTTTACTTTTCTTGCACTCATGAGTCTACCTACTATATATATATATATATATATATATACTTTGTTCACTGAGGCCTGGAATTTTCTACAAACTAGGAGACACTATAATGTAAAAATATTCATTTGGCTAGAAAAATACCGAAGGTTCAAGTAACATGACACCAACAATATTACTAAAGCCTAGTGCAACAATACACTGCATATAAAATGTACAACTCGTACAAAGTTATGTAACAAACTTGTCATAACTATTACTTTTAACTCTCTTGTTATGAAAAGTAAATAATCATTAAATATTAGATCATCAAATAAACTAAATAATAACTCTTAAACTAAACAGTCTTGTATATCCAACAGCAGTTGTACTGAAAATATTAAGAAATCTGAAATTGTGTTTTTCATAATCAAGACAGAAAACAGATGGATATTGGTGTAAGGTTATCTTTTGTAGCTTTTAACATTTGGAAGTTTATCAGAACTATTTTGAATATAACAAATAATCCAAGAAATATTCAGTGATCTACAAGTACCTTGCCTTTCTGCAGCTACATTCTGATGCAAGAAAATAATACAACAATCATCATATAGACTTATGCAAGAAAATAACACAATAATGATCATACAGACTTATCCTTTGTTGAAATATGAGGGCAAAAGATGAACAGGAAAATGCTTATAAAGAAGTCTTTGTGCTGCCCCATTTGGATGTGTAAGTACAAATAAAAATGCAATAATTTTATTTCCATGTTGATATAAAAACAAAAATTACTATAATGGTGACATCTGGCTGTCCTATAATTACATAAAAAACTATCTATTATGGAGATTTGAGGCTGTTCTATGTTAAAAATAAGAAAAATTTAATTAGCATAGGAAACTTTACATATCTGAACAGAAAGTATCTGTATATTGAAATTTGTGAAAAATACTCATAAAGTAACTTCACTTTCTACCATGTTGACAAGTAAGAACAATTTAGTCAAATTTAGGAAACTTACCCATAATATTTACATGGGGCTGTCCCATGTTGACTCCATTAGTGTCAACCAAAAATGCCACTGGACGATGAAGAGGTACTTTTTCCAGTCCTTCACCAGAGATTTGAACTTTTGACAAGCTCGACAGATCAACTATCAGGCATTCATAGGGACTTCCTAACAAGTAAATGCTATTTTATTGTTCAAGCATCATAGTTTATATAGGTTTAAGTTACATTTAAGAAAACATTGCATTCTTAAACGCAAGTCTCGATTCATGGATAAAAGCATATTTGCATTGAAAACCAAAAAACACAGTTTTATGTTTCTCCTACAAAACACTGCTGTAGCACCTAATAATAAACATACAGACAAACAGTGGTAACATGGTACTTCAAAACATATTAAAGCACAGTATTATATCAATACCATCATAATATATGTGCAAAATCCATACCTGGAACAGGTTCACTGTTAAATCTGATATCAATGAGATGTGGACCAATATGTTTGGGAGTGAATGATATAGCATACAGTGTCGAGGACTGGGCTTGTGCTGATGTTTCGACTTCTCCATTGTTAATCATAACATCTAGGTTACCTGGCCCAGCATTTGCAGTTTCAACTAACAAATCATAACAGAATTTCATATTAAAAGTAGAAACTGTAACATTTTCATTCTCATTTGGTGTAAAACTTGAATTGGTTGAAATAAACTTGATTACATTGATTGAATGAATTTGATTAAATGTTTCTGACTTGTCTTGCCCTTCCAATGATAAAATTAAAGTTAATAGACCATCAATTTCTAAATGTATGTTGTCACTTAGTGGACAAAATTAAAGTTTTTACCACATTGTTTTCCAACTTTCCACACACACACACTTACATGCCACCCATATATATGACTTTTTGAAACTAAAAACAACAACTAGCATTTCACAACAAAAAAGGCATATATAAAAAAAGATTAAAGAAATACACGAAAAGATTACGAACCTCTATATGAGAAGAAATGTATCAAAAAATAATAGACTACACATAGCAGTGGAGATATATTTTCTACCAGATTTATACTTTATTTGCAAGACTCAGACATCAAATTAAACTACAGCTTATAATTAGAAGCAGATACAGGTGCTGAAGATGAAAACTAAAACTGCCATTTGCAATCTGCAGTAAATTAAGAGAAGGCAGTTACTTGAAATGAAACAAAATCAATAAGATAAAGACAGTTTACTGTAAACAGATCACTCATGGACAGAAGTAAAAACTATTTCTTGAGGTCACATATCTGGATGAACAACATAATAACTTAAGATGACTAGATCAATGTATTCTACAATTAATTGGGTAAAATCTGAAGTTAACCTTTTAATCAATCTCTTTGGCACAACTGTTGTTTTATTTATATATATATAGAAAGAAACGAAAAATATCTCTTGCTGGAAGTTATTGTACTCATTAAGAATTGTGAGGTATGTGACATGATATTATTGTAGAGTACTATGTAAGTAAACTTCTTACCTAATTTCATATTTCTAGCTTAATCCAATAATATTTTCATCCATTTAAAATTTCTGACATATAAGTGACAAGTATATTTAAACCAAATATTAATACTATAGCTTTTAATACAGTAAGTGTATATTAATAAAATAATAATAGAGGGCAGAAAGAAGATTGAGATAGCTTTGTATGAGGGAGGTAAGAACATATCGCAAATTTATATTTTCAAAGTTATTACACAGAAATTATCTATAAATGATATATTAGTAAAATACAATTAACTGGGGCCAATTTACACTCACAATAACAAAGATTATTTCAGAAGATACCAGATGGTTATAGTCCTTACTGAAAATAACTTGTATAGTCACACGATTCAGAACCAACAAATGTTTACATTTTTTGAATTTAAATGAATTTCAAACATGTACTTAACCTCTCAAATACTAAAAGTTTTCCATTGTTGAGTTTGCTCTCATGCTCCCAACAATCATGTGACATAAGGTTTTGAATATCCTTGACACAATGCAGAACTTGTGTCAAGTTACTGAGAGTTCTCCACTCTTCCACTTAACTTATTGCACATGCATCAGGAAAACACATATACGCTCTGCTTTCCTGTCATAATAAAGAATTCTTAGAACTTTAAGGTTATGATAAAAAAAACAACAAATCTTCCAGTTGTGGGGAGTTGGATGGGAATGCATTTCAGAGGTAATTACCTATTTGAAAATAATTGTTATTTTAAAAATAGAAAATTCAAATCAGGTAAACTTACATCTGAAATACTAAAAGCTAAAATACCCACAATAAAATGACAGAGAAAATCAGATGGAGTTACAAAGACCATTGGTTCATCAAAAATTGGAATAAAGGGTGTCAGGTAGCATGTATATACCTCATGTGTGGTCACAGGTGGTGGTGTAAAAGACAATCTGGGTCATAGAACAATGTATTGTCCTATACCTCTAACGAATGGTTCTCAGAGGAGGAGACCAGTAATAACAAATGATCGGACATTTTTCTGGTGTTAAGGCTCCCTTCAACCTCATCTGAAAAGACTAACCAAGTCATCAAACTGGCCTAGTCAGTAGGCACCCTGGGAAAATCGAAAAGATCCAGACAGAGCTGAAGATTGGCTCAATAACTCTAATAAAGTGCAAAATAAATCTCAAATAAAGCTGTAAGGTTGGAGTTATAAGACATCATATGGAGAACAGTCTTCTCATCTCCAATGTTTCAAATACTATGTAAAGCCATGCATAGGAAGTTAGAAAGGTACCTACTGAGGCAACCTCTGTCTAGTTACATAGGGCATCATCCTCTCAGCACAGAGGGTGAAATTTTGTCTAGAACAATCACAGAAATATGTATAACATTCAAAAGTCCTAACTGAAGAAATCTATCCAAACATAGATTGTAATATTCTAAAGGAGAGACCATGACTGATATTTCTTAATTTTTTTAAATGAATGACTGCTCAAACACAGAGTCCGTGTAATTGTTAAAAGTGGTATTGGGCAATATAGATATACCTGGGTTAACTAAGCAGGTAACAAATAACACTTGTTAGGGATTCCATCTGGTTTGAGGAACCACAACTGAAAGCGAATAGAATTCCAAAGTTGAAGAAAACCAATGTGATGTAACACCAAATTTTAAAAGTGTATTCATGATGTGTCCACATTTCATTCCAGCCTCAGTTGGTGAGATATAAACACAAATTTGCTTTAAAGGTGTTTGGAAACAAGACTAATTAACTTTACAAGCCAATTTGATAATGTAGCAAGAGCCAGATAGGAGGAGCATGATTCCTTGTCAAGATATAATCAACCTTCTCTGAGACCCCCCCCCCCCTGACAGATTTAGTACGTGTAAGATAACAACAAATAGCCTTGATAGGACATAAAAAATGTTCCTATGAATGAGTCTGGATTAGCCAATGTAGGTAACGCAATAGGCAAGAAACAATGGTTACCTTCTCGTGTAGCCAAAGTTTTAGATATTAAGGCTCAATCTGGATATAAATATATAGACTTCTGAGAAAATAAAGTACTTAAAGCATTATGGGCATGCATATCAGAATTTCTTCTGCTTGGTGCAAGTAATAAAAGAAAATGTGATTTCCAGGAAAAATGATAGAGAGAACAAGTTTCTAAAGGTTCAAAATGCAGGAAAAACCCAAGTCCTATGTTGGACAATGTATAGGAACTTGGGGATGTTGAAGATGAAAGGCTTAGGAAAGGTCTTTGAATAATGGGAACAAAAGACATTGATGGCTTCCACAGCATCTAAAGGTGGCAGATAAGATAGTTATGTAATCATCAATGACAGAAGCTGATAAGCTATGATCATGAAACAAATACATTAAAAAAAGCAATACCTTGAAGAGTTATAGATAAACAAGTTATATTATGTATAATGCACCAACTCTGGAAGGTTGCCTAATACAACTGATAGACACTCAGGGAAGACCACCAGGAAGAATAAGCTAACATCTGAGCTCCCTACTAAAAAAACCTGGCTTCCTGGACAAAGGACCGAACAATAGCCAGCAGTGAAGCTATAGACATTAAATGTCATTGTGAAAAATGGACATTCAAGGTTGGCCTAGAAGATGTTTCCATTGTGGTAATGGTATAGTATGCAACATATCTTACTCTCCCATAGTTTGTACCTTATAGCAACAAATCCTTAATTTTTTCTAAGTTAAAATTGTTGAATGCTCTAAATCTGGTTGTTTGTATGTGTAAAATTTTATCATGGGGTGTTCTTTTTGTAGTTTAACCGATCAGGAAACTTATCTGATGTTTCATGGGATAGTTGCATTGTGTCCTTCTTTGTGTTAAGGGGATACTCTGCAACTCTCACATGGAGGAGAGATACTTCTGCATTTCAGTGCCCCTTCTTTTGATTAGTCAGCTGCAAAAATAATGTGTGTGCATGGTACTGTCAGTTTTGGCTGTCTCTTAGAAATTTGTTCCAACTTTCAAGGAAGGCACTTTGTTTTTGATCTGAGAAAACCAAGACTCACTGGTGGAATTCCTGTCCTTGTCATCACATTTCTACTTGCTAACCCTGTGATCTACATTTGTTTCACTTGCATTTTCTAACCTCTTGGACAATCACTTGTGCTTACTCTTAAGATATTTTTATTTTATGTCAGAGAATAATGTGTTTCATTTTTATCCTGATTCATCCTGACTCCAACGTAGTGTCTTGTCTTTTTAATTCCACCTCTCACAAATCACTGTACATTTTCCTTCAGCAAATTAGGTCCACAAACCTACTATGTTGAGTAACTGATTTGGAAAAGTAATCAAGGAAGAAGGAGGAGAGGAGTGTAGGCATAAAGAAAAAGGTTCTCCCAAGATTGACTCAGGGTATTCATTGCCAGTGCTTTTGGATCTGGAATTGGAGACCAATAGAATGGAAGATGATGACTGTCTGACATAGAAAAAAGCTTCAGTCATCAGATGACTCAGCTGGTTACATGACTACAGAAAGAAAAAGAAAAAAAATGGAGGGACTCCACTTCATGGTGAGAAGCCAATGACTTTGAGAAAAAGAATCTGTCAAAATGTCCATCACACAGGGAATGTAACAGGTTATGAATTGAAAATCCAAAAAGCAGGTTAATTATAACAATTATCAAACAAGGTATCTATAAGATAGGGCATTATAAGCAGTCATCATAGAGAACACTTGTTGAGGAATGAGAAGTGCATGCATGCTTACTACAATGATGTTATAAGCCAACAGATGAGATGATACTGTACGACTTTGATGAATTATCTTTTACAACAGCTTATGTAGTAAAATAAATGTTAGAAATTTATTTCATATGATATTAGTTGAACTGCATGTATAGTGATGGTCAATGATAACATGGGGTCAACATGGACCCTAAATAAATATTAGATTACAGCTACATACTCCATCTGCCTGTTTCAAAAACAATAGTGTCATATTGATTCTGAGTTTCTGCATGATAATTATATGAATGGATATAAATTTTTCAAGATTATGTAAAAAGGATATACAACTAAGAAAGTTGTTGTGGACCATGTGGACTCCAGGTGTGCTGATGAGGGTTAGATTATGAAGATCTTAAGTTTAACCATTCAACAACTTAAATTGTAAATATCAAAAGTTTAAATGTTCATTCTTTTAGTTATTTCTGTAATATATCTTTCTATTTTTTATTACATTTAGACACACATTGGGCATTCAATGGAATAAAGCTTTGACTTATTTTGGAAACTAAAAATCAGAATAATATGAACTAATAGTAACTCACCAAGAAATGTGTAGAGTTTCCCCAGAAATCCTATTCCCAAGTCTTTCACCTTTATCTGTTCTACATCATACACCTTGCTAATAAATGGGCTACCTGGTAGAGGATTTCCACAGTGGTTCACATGGATCCTGTGTTCTCCTATTCATGCAAATAGAAAAATCCTGTTCATTCACTGCTTACACAGCTTAACATGTACAGGAATTTAATATATGTCAGCTCTGTATATTTTCAGTACTATATATATCTACTATTTGAGCCCATGCTCACTAATATACCTTACAAAAAATGAGGAGACATGTTAGTGAATGTAATTCTTAGGTTATACATTTATCTTTTTACTCTTTTACTGCAAAAGATGATTCAACAGCTATATATAGATTTCTTAACAAGATCAATCATAAATGAGGTTTTTTAATTTCCATTTCTTTAAATGGCAATAAGTTTGTTGTTAAGCACAAAGCTATGCAAAGAGTATTGAAACTAAATTTTTAGAATTATAAGCTCTCAAATATGCCAGTAAGCCATCAGGGGCTAAAGGACAATATGACACATGCTTGTAAATATAGACATATATCCACAGACATCTATAAGTACATAGCCCAGTAGAGAAGATAACATACAAAGAGGCACGCCAGATGTACAAACAGAGTTAACAGACAAGTAAATCATAAAATATTTGGCATAATAACCTATGTGCAAATCAAATTATATGTAAACAAATAACCTGGAAAGGTAATAATATTAAAAATTGTTCAGCTAAACTTGCAAAATTGCATGAGGGACTATCTGTGCTAGCCATTACTAATTTTGAAGTGATAGACTAGAGGGAAGACAGCTAATCAATATCACCCACCACAAACTCTTGGACCAATCTTGACAGATTGAAGAGCACGATTTGACCATCACTGTTATAATACACTCGCACTTTCAAAGTGCAAAGTGTGATTTTTGTTTTGGCAGTGATGGGACACAAAAAAATAGAACCTTAGACCTATAGTCCAGCATGCTAATGATTGAGATTCTCTTCACCCATTCAGATATGTAAGATAGAACAATGTAACACAGATAAATAAATATAGATAGATAGAGAAAATTATACAGAAACTGTCACTAACAAATGTATCTAATGAGAACTAAAATTAAACTGCAAAAAAGAAGCAAGCAATAGAACTATTGAAAAATTTAATCTCAATGTTTTAATAATCAAAAGTAAAAAATATTTGTTTGATTGTAAAATAATAGAAACAATAAACCTTCTAAATAATGTTTTTTATTAAACAAACCTGTTATCTTTGGTGAAAACTCTACTTTGAAGCTCCCCATTCCAGTTTCTTTAATGTTGTATGGTAGTGTTTTCTTATCAGGACCTTTAAATATAAACAGACAGTAATAGTACTGTAGTTGAATATGTTTTTCACAGTTGATAGTGCTGGGTGTTCAAACATGTTCTGACACATTGGAAAAGTCCACAATTTTTGAAGGAACAGAAACAGAGTTCTGCTATAAATCAGCTTGTGATAAAATTATCACACATTAAAGTGAATACTTTATTCACACACACACACATATATCCAATAACTATCTGACTTCATAATTTAACATCTAACAAAACTGCTTTATAGAAATTGTAGATGTCACTAATTGATGGAATGTTGATGAATGTCGAATAACATATGTTTCCAATCTGTACATAGATTACTTCTCCAAACTTTGCACTACCCATCCCTCACATTAAAAATTACAGTGCTGTGTAAGCAACTGGAGGGAGTCCACATCATTATGTGCTTTAATGCATATCTCTATCATTGTTCATTCAGAAAATAATAATAAATAGTAATGGACTTTCCCACCAAAGTTATCATTTAGAAACCTTGAATTTTACCTTAAAGGGTTTAAAATAGTATTAAGAGTGTTTCACCAGAAATTTGAAAAGTTATAGTTTTCCTATACTGAAAATGTATTTCCAATAGGTACTTACTTCCACTTACATAAAAAGCTATTATCATTCAGTGCTGCACATTTTTTTGCACATGCCACAAACCTTGAATCTCCCAACTATTTGGAATTGACCAATTCCAATGCATCTCGCATGCAAATCATCATGTAACTACCCTCCACTAATAAGAGTGCAACATACTCTCTTGACGCACGTGACTCCCTCTATTCTATTCTACCACACTATTATTTCGAATTTGGGCAGAAAATGGAAGCACCGGTTTTCAGTGGGGAGGAAGGATGGGAAGTGTGAAGGGAGATAAGTACCTATCAGAAATACATTTTCAATATAGGAAAAATATAACTTCCGATATGGTACATTATCTCCTCTCCCACAAATAGTTAGAATGCCACATTGAATAGGTGGAGGGACAAGTGCAAGGGAAAGAAAGAAGCATCCTTTAAAAGTGTCTGAAGGACACTCCTCAAGAGACCTTTGGGATTAAAGATCTGATGTGGGAGACCACGCCACTTCTGAAACAGGTGTACTCTTCACCCATCGTGTAAAAATGTCGCATATATGGGTAGAAAAATGGAGGAGCACATCTATGTGGGAGAGAACTATGGCAGGATAGGGATCCAAACCATATGATATTTATGAAACTCAATTCCAGAAACATAAAGGAGGGTAAGATTAAAAGGATACGCCCCTAAGTGTAGAGTGGCTAGGGTGCGACAGACCGTGTATAGCAAGTCAACTACATCCAAAACCCATGCCTCTGGGAACCAACATCCATGCAGGGGTAGGATGAGGATCATACCATAGGTAAGTCAACTACAATCCAAAACCCAGTCATCTGGTGGAGATAGGAAAGGAGATCATACCATCTTCACCTCAACTTCATGAGACCAGAGGGAATCTTGTACCCTCTGACCCATGAACGGGGCACATGACAATGTGAGAAATTGATTGATCGATCCGGGAACCCAACATCTGGCATCGAAAAGATGTCTGATTAAAGTAAACCATCTCACTCAAATTTTAAATTGACAGGAACCACCCCAAGCACAGTAACATCCTTAGAATAATAAGCATCGAGGGATAGTGGAAGGGGAAGAACAATAGTAATCTGCAAGTACTTTCACTATGACTCACAACAATGATGGAGTAACAAGAGTATAAATGAGGGAGGGAATAGAGACATCTGTAATACAAGTGTGAGGAGTTATATTGATTAGTCCAGCTCTAAATCCAAAACCCAGCCATTGGGAACTGACATACACGTGGAGGAAGGGGTGAACTTCAATTTTGTCATCTGCACCAGCAGAACACCATTGCCCTACTCTCAACTGAATGGTTTTATAATCATTTATATATATATATTATTTGTATTTCATTAACACATTCAGGAAGATGCATCCATGGTCCACCACCCCCAGCAGCTTGAAACTGGAAAGTGGTAAAAACTCTCAAACTCCAATAGAAGAAGGGGGGGGGGGATGTGGTGGAGAGTTTGGAGGAACGTCAACACCTAAGACAGTACAATGGGTGACCATGAAACCCTATTCTTAAAAGCACACTATACTGATTTATTCAATACAAATCATGACAGGGATGGGCAGCTATCCCCTATTGCTTTACCCATGTTGTCCATGGGTGAGTACGGTTTGGGACTTGCAAAATTCTGAAGCAAACCTATCACGTGGATAATCCTACAAGCGATCTTGTGGAATATCCCATCTCTGCAGAGTGCATTGCATGGCCATGGAATTATAATATGTAAGTAAACATGGTCTTACAGTGCCGATGTGAATAGTTAAAGAATACCTGGTCAGGCACTATTTGCCACATAGCAGGATCCAGACAATGAGTAATAACAAAAAATGAAAAAGGGAATAAAGGTCACAGAGTAATAGAATATAACTTACCCAGTCAAAGTCACACTGAAGTTGTACAATGGCTACAGGCAGAAGACAATAACCCTATGTCACATGCCTGATTGAGGGGTATGCCACATGCTTGATTGAAGAATTTCCTCCAAGGGGTGAAGAACATGAGATATGAAAAAGTGAGGTGTCATATTTGATGAGAAGACACCCGGAACAAAGTATGGAAGGAAAACAATAAAGAAGAATAAGCCAATCGAATTAAAAGCTGAACCCAAATGGTGAGAATGTTACAAGAAAGATCACAAATTGGGGATGTCTGCCAAGGAATAAAAAGGCAGGAACGGGTACCACATGAGGAAGCCATGTGGGCAATATAAAACCATAGAGCATGTACAGGACATAGAAGACTATCCAGATCAGACTGAAGATAAAAGTGGGAAACGGAAGGTAGGGAAAGCAGCTAAATGGAAGAGTTACCCTCTCGAGCTGCTGAAGATTTGGGGAGGAAAGAATGATCCAAATAAAGTAGAATATATGTGGAATAATAAAGAGTACGTGAAACATCTATGGCAAATAAATCTGACCTCTGATGTTCACAGGCTAAGAGGAGAATGAAATAAGTCTTAAGGAAAAGATGAAACAAGAAGCACGTGGATAGTGGTTCAAACAGAGGTAAAGTGAGGCAGTGAAGAACCACATTAACATCCCTATCCAGAAGGACAACGAATCTGGAAGGAAAGCATCAAAAGTGAAAGATTAGTAGAGGTAAACACCCTATGGTATTGAGGAAAACGAAATGTGTGGGACCAGGCCACCCAATAACCCGAGATCGAGGAGACAGAAGATCCCGATAAAAAAAACAAGTTAGAAAATCCACAATATGAGGAACAGTGGGTCGATCAGGTGAAAACCCTTGACCCAGAGACCAATGGTGGAAAATGTTCCATTTATGTTGATAAACTTCCCTGGAGGAAAGGCAAATGGAACTAGCTAGAAAAGAAGCTACCTATTGGGACAAGCCGGATCTCCTTGCCAAGGACTGTATAAAAACCAGGCATGAAAATGGAGGACAGGAAGAGTTAGATGAAATACTGGTGACTGAAGTTGATGAAGAAGGGATGAAGTAAGACGAAGAGGTAATAGAGTAGTTTGGAGCTGCAGTAGATGCGAGAACCATGAATGAGCCAGACAGTAGGGAGCAATCAGAAGGACCTGACATAGAGTGGCATGGATGATCGAAATCACCCTATGAAGACGTCAATTGGGAAGATAGCCATACATGTATTTGCTGGTCCAATCCTGACTGAAATCATCTACAGCCAGAGCAAGAGGATGAGGGTCTTGAGACTAAAACAGGGACGTGGCAAATATATTGACGTGAGGAATACCCCCACCAAAGGCAAAGCCATTGGGAAACAAGAAGATCGAGAGACCACTCCATCAGATAAACTTTGCCTGGATGGGAAAGCCAATCAGCAACATGACATGCAATGATATGAATATTGAGCACGTGGTCTCAAAAAAGAATAACAAAAGTATGAAAACATAGGGATCGAGAACAGGTGCCACCCTGGTGATTGAGATAAGCAACCATTGTAAAAGTGCTGGAATGTATCATTACCAGACGATTTCTGGCCAGATGGAGAAAATGAACCAAAACATTATGTACAGTGAGAAGCTCCAGGATGTTGATATGACAAAACCTCTTGGCTGCAGACCAATGTCCTGAAGCTTCCTTGATTGACTTGAAGGAATGTGTCCTTGAAAATGTGTAAATCTGGATGAGGAGGAAGAAGCGGGACACCCAAGAATGTGTGAGTCTTGTCCAACCACCAATTCAGGTCACTGACAAGGGTAAAAGGAAGGAAAATAGGAGCCATCAAAGGATCTCATGCAAGATTCCACTAGTCGTGAAGAGCCTGCATATGTGCATGACCTAAGGGGATAAGGACTGCCATGGAAGACCACATCCCCAAAAGTGACAAAACCTCATGAGCTGTAATAAAGGGAGCAGTAAGAACATGAAGAACTTTCGCTCCATCAAATGAAGTTGAAGAGAAGGTTGGGCCCGACTGAGATGGATGTTGAAAAATACACAGTTTGACAAAATATTGGGTAGGCTGAAGGAATTTCTTCTCCAATTTATCAACTGGCCAACCCGAGCTGCCTCCAGGAGCAGCCAAGTGTGATGGGTGGACTCCTGTTTGGAATGAGCTAACAGTTGCCAGTTGTCCATGTAATGATAAAAGTGCAACCTGAGAGCATGTAAGTGACAAGTGAACACTTTAACCACATGACAAAAAAACATACAGGGAAAAAGCAAGCCCGAAGGGCAGTGTGCGAAACTGATAAATCATCTCATGGTGAACAAACTGAAAATAGGGTCACAACTGATAAGATATCGGGATATGCATGTAAGCATTTGCAATGTCCACCTTGGTCATCCACAAACCTGATGAAAAAGCCCACCTGATGGTGAGAAATGGCTCCATGGTAAAACGAGGCAGAATGAGTAAATAATTGAGGTGGAACAAATCTGTTACAGGCCGCCAGTCTACAGTTTTCTTGGGGATGACAAACAGCCCGGAAAAAGATGATGGACAGGTTTGATGGCCTGTTGAGACAGAAGATGCTGACTGGTAGTAAGATCCTGAGGTTTGAGGAAAGAAATGGGTACTTAAGACAAAGGAGGGGGGGGGGAGAAATTGTAGGACAAGTTAGTCTGATAAAACCCAAATAATCCACGAGGAAATGTTACCAAAGGGGAACAAATCTATACAAGTGAGCTCCCACTGGACCAGAAACCACCGAGTAGTCACTGGTACTGTTGGTGACATGCCCATTTACATCAAAGAGAAAGATGAGATGAAGAACAGGTAAAGGCTGAGAAGGACTAGGATGGGAAACAGGAAAAGTAGCTTGTCTCAGCTCTGACTACAACAAACATCCAACCAAAGAGGAAAGGGTAGAGTGTTGGCACACAGGCTCCATATGTGATTCCAAAGTCTCAGGTACATAAACAAAAACATATTGCCGAAGAAAAGGGGTCATTCGTAAATCCCTAAGATAAGGGGGCGGTAAGTGCACCTGAGACAAGACCACATCTCGACCCAGGAGATTCCAACAACAGAGAAACCACATGTGTAAAGCAAGAGCCAAAAATGACAAATGAGCCAACATGGAGGTAATTAGGAAGAGGTTTTCCCTCGAAAAACCCTCAAGATCTGTGAATCACCTCCGAAAGGAGAAGGATAGTAGATAAATGCCATAGAAGGACAGGGTCATAGGAAATCTGGAAAATGGACAAAACACCAAATACCTAAGAAATCATGTCTAAAAATGCTGTATTAGGCCTAGATGATACTGCAGGTGGGGCATAGAAAGACATGGCAAAATCTGATGGTGAATAAAAGTTATCAAAATCCTCGTCGGCCCAAACAGGTTTGGCTTGTTCAGGGGGAAATGGAGCAAGTTCAGGGGAAGGAGGTTGACCCATATAATGATCAATCTCATGGCAATAACTGCAGATAAATACAACGACAGGTCTTCCCCACCTGCAGCTTGTGAGATAG